CTTTACCAGCTTGTCCCATGAAGCATTACGTTTCATCTGGAATAAGTGCATTTGTGGGGGAGCATTTGAATAACCAAGGTGTTGTTTGCAGGTGCCCAAGGCGGGGAGGGTATAATAGTGTGACCAGAAGCATCCTCTCTGTGATAGTAAAGACTAGTTTAGGAGAGCAAACACTTTGAAGTTCAGCTCTGTGGGTTTTTCCCAAGTAGTCAGGCTATTATTGTTATTTATATTCATAGAGCATCTCGTAGCCCAAGGTACTACATTAAGTTCTGCACAAACTCAGCGATGGCTCTGTTGATTCTCAGGCAAAGCAAAGCTCCCTTTGGGTCTGGTTTGAGAGACACAAAAGTGTCTGACTTAATCAACATGAAAATTTTCCATTTATTTGCTGGGATGCCGCTCCCTGAGTAGGGTTACCTGCGTGTTTGTGATTAAGAATTCTGTTTCTATTTGGCAGAGCTGAACCATAATAGCTATTTTTTCCTGTGGTACTTTGACAAATATGAGCAAGAAACTCACACCTTCAGTGGAGTCTGTCTTCTTCAATGATCTCAATGATCTCTTCCAACCATGAAGATTCTGTGATTCTTGTACAACAGACAAAATGGGAACACCAGGGGTATTTTTATCCCCAGCCTAACTTCTTGGATTTGGAGCATTCAGGCTGTTTGTCCATAAGCCCCTTTCTCTGCACCACCTCTGCTGGAGGCCAGAAGACCTCCCTGTGATAAGGAAAATGCAAGTCGTGTGGGCAACATCCGAGTCAGAGAGAGAGGAGCTTCTTTGCACCCCCATCTTGGGACGAATCATTCGGCAAGCTGCTGAGCCTGCCCTTGGGGTGAAAAATTCCATTTCAGAGTAAAAGTGGTGCACTGAGGTATGGCGGGCAAGCTCTTTCCTCACCTGCTGGTCCTCTCAGGACCAGAGGAAATTTTCAGGACCAGAAAAAATGGTCTGAAGTTGGGGCAGGGGAGGCTTAAATTAGATATTTGGAAGAATGACTTTACTGAGGGTGGTCAGGCACTGGAACGGCCTGCCCAGGGAGGTGGTGGAGTCACCATCCCTGGAGGGATTTAAGAAACGTGTAGATCGTAGAATCATAGAATGGTTTGGGTTGGAAGGGACCTTCAAGATCATCGAGTTCCAACCCCCCTGCCCTGGGCAGGGACACCTCCCACCAGACCAGGTTGCCCAAAACCCCATCCAGCCTGGCCTTGAACCCCTCCAGGGATGGGGCATCCACGACCTCCCTGGGCAACCTGTTCCACTTCAGGGCATGCTCTAGTGCCTGAGATTGTTGGGGGTTTTGTTTTGTGTGTGTATGGTTGGAGTCGATGATCTCAAAGATCCCTTCCAACCATGCAGATTCTGTGATTCTGTGAAGGTGTGAGTCTGTGTCGTGAACTGGTCTCTCCTGGTGCAAGCAGGAGGGTCAACTTGTTGCGTTGATGTTCGTATCGGGCAAACTTTTACACTGAAATGAAAACCTCTCCTTGCAGCACTGGAGCCAACATTTGGGCAACCAAGGATGCCGTAACTGAAAGCAGAGACATTGTGGAGGTTGATTTCTGCTCACAGCTGGAGCAGATCCACCACGATACAGGAAGCATGAGCCGTGGTCCTGGTGGTGAGGTGAAGAGGGCAGCGTCCTGCTCTCACCAGCAGCACTTTTGCAAGCTTCATTGTGGTGGTGCATGGTACCTCCTGTTCCCCCAGAGGATGAGGGGTGCCAGAGGTGGTAGACAAGCTCTTAAAAAGCTAGACACAGTTGGATCCCCCTGTTTCCCAGGTGAAGATGGAGGAGTGCCAGGTTACCCAGCACAGGCAAAATGAGCATCAGTTCTCTCTGCTGCAGACGGTGATGCTGTCAGCTCCCTGCTGTGACAGGTTACTGGGCATCAGGGATGTGACATCCCTGTTTTCACCTTGTGGCCTTGTGTCTGAGCTCGTGCCTGTGCTCACAACAGGGCTTCTTCCCTCACTTTGCATCCAGGCTTGCAATGTCATGATCTGGTCAGGCTGTCCTACTCCTCAAGCCACACTGGTGTCCGCTCCACTGCTGTCACCCGCTTGCCCCCGTGCCCAGTTCTGCTTCAGCTTGTGTTTTGGGGACTGTCTGCTCTCCCAGCTCCTCTGTCTTCTGCTAACATTGCTAACCTCTGAGTTTCCTTCTCTTTACCTTCACCCCTCGTGGACTCCTGGACCCATGTCTGCTGAGCGCTGTCACCACCTCATTCCTAGCTTCCTCAAGCTCCTGGTGCAAAGGAATGAGAGGTAAAACAACAAAAGCTGTCTCCTTGAGAAAATATCAAAGGACTAGCTCCCTTTCCCTCTTTCTGCTTGGATTCCTTTTTGTCTTTCTGCCTTCTGGAGAGCAAGATTATTAGACGAAGGCCTGACCTTGCTAAGAGAAAAAAGAAGGGCACATAAAAAATATGCGGTTTTGTGGTTAAAGCATCATTTTGGTCATTTAATTTTTCTGAGCCTCCATCCTCATGAATAAAACAGACACAGAAGGCCTTGAAAATAAGCCAGGTCTCTTTTCTGTCTCTGTGGCCAGTGCAGGGCACGGCTTGCACCCAGACCGCTGAAGTCTCTTGCACCCCTCAACTCCTTCTCCCTTGACTGCACGGCCTCGTCCACATGTGCTCTGGGGACCTGGCCCCAGCACAAACACACACCTTGCCTGGGCCGTGGCATGGGATGAGGCACCCACTAGGGGTTAAACAGGAACCAGATGGCCCTGGGTTGTTCTTCTCACCCAAGTCCTGAGCTTGCTTTGCTCTCCAGCTTGGATGTCCCCTTTGGTTTTAGTTTGGGTCTTTATTATTTGACTTTTTTTCTTTATGAGCTATTGTGTTTTAATTAACTGTTAATTCCTTGGGCTAGCCTGTGGCTATTGGAGGAGGGGGCAGGGAGGAGGGGAGAAGAAATAACTTGCTTCAGGGTTTTTTCTTGGTTGTATCTGCTGCCGTTTATTCTCTTATTTTTTAGGCTGACTGGAGGTAATGGCTCTTAGCAAGCTTTATAAATCATTCTGCAGAGGACCTTGAGTGAATGTTTTATTTAATAAGTATGGAGAAGTGGGCTTTTATCCCTGCAAAATATGTGGCAAGTTCACTCTGATTTCCACTGGATTACTGTATTTGGGGTAGAAGAAGTAATAGAAGACTCAAAGATATTGGTCTTACAGCAAGTTCCAATTGTATTGCCTCCTCTTCGATTTGCTACTTGATCCATAGGAGCATCAAAGTTATTTATGTTGAAAACCAGCACTTTGATTTAATAGCACATAGGCAGGGGTACTTGGGAGGTATTTAAAAGCTCACTTTGAAAAGCTGTACCAGTCTGAAAACGTGAATGCTGCTGCTCTTGAGCTTTGGGAAAAGGTGGATCTGCAGACCCATCCTGATGCTGCAGCTCACCTCTATTTCTGGACCGTGTCAGAGCAAGTCCTGAGAGCTGAGATTTTTTGCAGAGGGCAGGAAACAGGGTTCGGCTCCAGCAATTTCGAAGAGAAATCTTTATTCAGGCTGCTGGAAAACTAGCATCCTGAGTCCTTGTGTCCTGCCTGCGATACCCACCTCTGTTACACAGGCCCTGAGGCCAGGCAGGGACCTCACTCTGGCTGCCAGGTCTGAAAAATGTGGCTTCTTTATAGAATGTTGAAGCCACTGCAGAAAGAGAGAGCACAGTGCTGGCCTATAGCAACTTAAAATCAACTTGAAGGGGACTATTTATGGTCATCACTGACTGGGGGTAGAGAGAGTTTGTAGAGAGGTGGGGGTTGGTCTCTTCTCCCAAGTCCCAGGCGATGGGACAAGAGAAAACAGCCTCAAGTTGCACCAGGGGAGGATCAGATTGGAGATTATGAAAAATGTTTCCACTGAAATTAAGCTTTGGACTGGGCTGCCCAGGGCAGTGGTTGAGGCCCCATCCCTGGAGGGATTGAAAAGCCAGGTTGACCTAGTGCTTAGAGACATGGTTTGGTGATGGTTTTGATCAGAGTGAGGTTGATGGTTGGACTACATGGTCTGAAAGGTCCCTTCCAACCCGGACAATTTTATGGTTCTATGATCACGTGGATTTTAATGAGTGCTATGTGGGAACCACATGGAACCTCACGTGGATTTTGAATGAGTGCTATGTGGGAACCACATGGAACCTACTTCGTCCCAAGGTGCTGCACATCTCAAGAAGTGTCTCACTACAGTGTGCAAGCTCTTGGGTCTTGGCCACACAGCCGGTCCAAGGAGCAACTAGGCTTTAGCCCTGCTCACACTCACATTAATGATGAAAATTCAACAGCTTCATAGGTTGTAGGAAATGATTTCTTTCCAACAACAGAAGGAGAACAGAATGAACTCTGAAGACATTTTGGCTTTAGTGAAAGCACAGCTGGGCCCAGCAGCACTATGCCTGCCAAGCACCGCTGGGCTTCAGAGGACAGGCTGGGAAGAACGGACGTCGTGGATGCTTTGTGGTGGTCAGCACATACATCTGCCTCACGATGTCTCTTCTGCAGGCAGTCACACCCATTTGTTTTTCAGATTCGGTAGCTCTCTGTTTGGCCTGTGTGGAGAGGTGCAGAAGTCCTGTCAAGTGCAGATCTGTGCCTTTTTTCTTGGGAGAAATAATGAGAGAGCAGGTGGCCAAGCAGGCAGTTGTAATGCTGGCTGTCCCCTCGGGTCCTGGATTTTCATCCTTGAAAGGATGGAAAATCGTTTTTTTCAGGAGCAACATCTAGTGCTGTAAAAGCCAGGCTGTTCTGTGGACTACTCTGGCATCGCCATTCTCTCTGAGATAACTCACAGGTTTTGAATAAAGACAGAAATTCACAGATATTTTTTCCCCTTGAATAGTGAGCCGCTGTTGGAGCATCTCAAGAAATGAAATGCCCAACAATGCCTGAAATACTTCTGTAGCGCGGGATGCTTCCCCCCACTTTGCAGATAACCACAGCCCCTCTTTCTGTTTGTTTGTTTGTTTGTTTGAAGGGTGCGTGCTTGTGGTGTCTGTGATTGAACAGCTTGCACAGTGGCACAACAGTACCGTAAAAGCAGCCGTGGAGAGACTGTGCAACTACATACCTGGTAAGTACCCAGTAATCCACCATATGTTCTGCTGGTGCTGCAGTATTTCTCTGTTAATTAAAAATTCACACGTGGAGTCTGAAAAAAAAACTTTATTCACTTCTCGTGCAGCGTCTCAAATGAATGTAGCTGGAAGACAGCAAGGTGCTATTTGCAGGGAAGTGAATGGCGTGGCTCACTTGGCTTCAGAGCTGGGATTTTTATCCCAAAGTTGGAGTGAATGGGGTTGGATGGACCCCACATGTGTGTGAGCACTAACACCCTTCCCTCTGTTTCTCTCCACTTAGCAGCTTAGGAATAGATTGACTGTATGCCCAACCGCTCCTCTTTCTCGTTGATATGGGTCTTTAGAGCAACTGCCAAGATGAAAATGTTTTCAGCAGGTATAGGAAGCCATTATTGTAAAAAATCTCAAAAATGAGCTGAGGTTGACAGGTGTAAGACGTGAGCATTTGGTCTGTGCAGAAAAGCTATTGAAATGTAACTGATGATACAAATTTCAAAAGTGGTAGCTATTCCATATGAATATATGTAGACTCCCCTTTTTCTGTCCCTGATTTTATCTACCCAAAGGAGCTTAGCTGCCTGAATGCACACCCCTAAATAGAGACCAGTTGGAATGCCAGAATAGCTTTGTGCCTCACAGACCAATCCTATAACTATTTAAGTAACTAGATCTCACATTCATGATATCTTTTTAACATTATGAATGTAAAAAGATGGCTTAGGATTTTTCGTTAAAAAGTCCTTCATATAGGACTTCATGAATTGTATCTCTGGGAAACCATCTTGCTCTGTAGACCCTAGTTTCACGGAAGATGCATGCAGAATATTAATTCCCTCCTTTCCAAGAGAGGATGCAGGATGGGGCAGGGAGGTAATTGCTGGGATTCATTCATTGATGGAACGACGCTTATCTGATTTCTATTCCATAAGTCATATCCTCAGTGTTTTAAATTACAGGCACATAACCATGAAGTTACAATTAGACGTGCTGATCCTGCTATTAAAATACAATTTTCCTCTTTAAAATACGACATGCTAGCTCTGTGTTCATGATTCACTCGGTGGACCTTGTTCCTCTGACGTGTCAAGATATTTCTTTTCAGCTGCCATTCTTTACACCCATAAAATCCCATTATCCCTTTAGTTAAATCTGTATAATCCAGTTACTTTGTACGAGATGCATGGATACACCTAATAGAAAGAAACTGACCCCGAGCTTGAAAGGAGTGAAAAATCCTATGGATTGTGTGGGAGCTACAGTGTAACCTGATTTATCCTCTCCCAGGAGGTGAATGTCGCAGCCCCACAGGAATCAACAGCTTCCTCTTGCTGCTTGAAACAATAGAAAAGTTTTGGATGCTCGTGAAGAAAACCTACTAAAGCAGGCCAAGCCATTTCACCTGAAGGAACAATTTCATTATTATACCTGTGCCTGCAATAGATTGCAAGAATAGGAGCCACAAATTAATGGCAACGGGGCTTTCCCTAGGGCCAGAAAGGGGATTAAGAGCTTGTGTGGGTTTTTTTAAGGGCCTCCTACGGTTTCGATTACAGTCAAGTTGCAGTTGGATCAAGCATTCAGTGAAGTTACACGATGTTCAAGAACAAAAAATGTTTAGAGAAACAGAGAGAAAAAAATCAGTGCCCATCAATCCCACTCAGTCCCACAGGCTATGTAGAAAACACAATCACATCCTTATTTAGATGGAAATATTTGCAATGTGTGTGATTCAAGTGACGTGGCCAATAAACCTTTGAAAACTGGAAGAGTAACACCATGAGTGAAGAAAGCTCTTGAGCAGACAGAAAGGCCAGGTCTGGGGGAATGGGGCAGTATTTACAGTGCTAAAAAATGCTTTTAGCAAGAATGTATGTTTACCTGGATGCTGGCTGGCTGCCTGATGAAACAGAGGTGTCTGATACCCGAAATGTGCTTTCAGACTGGCTGCCTCCAGTGTTGCCTCTGAGTCATGCTCTGCTTCTGTGTCAGCCACTGCTGTGTAAATACCTTAGAGCTCAAGTGGTAACGGCAACATGATTAATACCATCTTTGTTGCAAATATTTATCCTCTGGGTTTCGGCCAGAATTCGTGTTTCTAGGACTATAAAGCTATAGAGGAAAACCTTCTGGACTTTTATCGCATAAGAACAGGGCAGTTTAGGGGATCTCTAAGCAGGGCAAAAACCAGATATACTTTAATTTTTTTATAAATTTCCCAGCATTTAGTTTGGTTTAAGCTCTTCTCTTGCCTCTGAACGCTCAAAGTTATTCATAGTTTTCTCTCTCTGTCTCTCCCCCTCCTTTTTGACTCATGCAGCTTCTTCCAACAGAGCTTTCTCTCTGCAATATCTTCTCCTTGTGTGAGAAGATGTCAGAGATTTCTGAAAGCTCGAGTGCAGGCTGGCTCAGAGGGCAAGTCCTGTAAACACTGCCCATGGCTTGGGTTTGTTTTGCTGGAAGCCAATGCCTGGATGGCATCTGTGTCTTCCAAGAGGATTCTATGTGCTCAAATGATAACTTTATGTTATTGCTGTTCTTCTTACTACCCATCATTTGTTATGCCACGGAGTAATTACCTGTCAACCTTCCTATATGCATAAGGAAAGCAGCGCCTAGAAACCCGTGTGAATCAGCAGACCCCCAACATCAGGTCCCCAGAGCCTGACGGCAGCCAAACCCTCCCTTCCCTGCAGGCACCAGAACAGGTTCCAGCAGCCAGTTGGCTCCTCCAGGACCAGAAACGTTATGGAAACCAGCTGGTTTGGGAAACTCAGAAGGAGACCATCGCCTGTGATGCACCAGGGAGGCATTGGGGAAGCCAGCCACCTTCTCCTGTGGGCTACTAGAGGGAGCCAGATGCCCCGCGGGCAAACATCATCAGAGGGTGTTTTAATCAGCCATGATACCAAACACAGGGTTATTGATGTCTGCAATGTCTTTCCTTTGAGGAGAACAAGAATAAAATCTAATTCTAGCCAGGAGACCAATTTTTAACTTGCAGATTACTTCTAAAGAGCCAATAGAGAGGAGTTATGTGGCAAAGGAGGCAAAGAAATGAAGCTAATAACTTGATTGAAATAAAACACCTGGCACGGGATAGGAAAAATCAGCTCCTGTAGTTAGAGAAGCTGCCTGCAACACCAGACGAGTAGGAGGGTGTCAGAGAAATTACCTTTTCATTCACTGCTGTGCCCCTCTGGTGCCAGTCCTCCTTTCTTGGGCACAGGGTACCAGCCAGGGTGTCTGCAGCACTGGCAGGAGAGCAGCTGGGGCTGCAGATGGAGTCCGTGCTGTGGTGATTTGTACCCTCCCCAGAGCAAAACTACCCGCCCCGTACGCAGCAGATCCTCTGTCCTTTGTGTGTCCAGCCTGATGCTGCTTAAAATTGAATATTCAGCCCAGAATTGGGGGGAAGCGGATTCTTTGCGAGTTTCTAAGGCTTTTCTTTGGTAAACACGAGGGTTCTCTATGCTTTCTTCCCCAAGGACAGATAATTATCTTGTCTGGGGAATGGAAGTGCAAGAGAAAAGAACATCGCTCAGGAATTTCAGGAGCTGCAAGTTTGGCGTCGCCGCACTTGTGTGAACCTGCCTCTTCCAAGGCTTTTCACAACACCAGCCCTGCCGAAACAAGGTCTGACACCTCCTTTGCAGGATACAGATGGAATTAACTAGCTCTCACATCTTCAGGCCAACAAACAGTCAACTTTCCTCCATGGGAACTATCAGACCAGCGCTACCGTCATGCTCTTACCTTTATTCCAACCCCACAAGTGTCTCAGCTTGGTGGTTATGAAATGGTGTGGGGACCACTTGTTTTTAATAACAGTACCTTAAAGAAATCTCTGCTGAGCTGTCTTCCAGAGGACACGGAAGGTGTATTTCAGCCAGCTTAAAGAAAGCCACCTGAGCCAGCATCCTGAAAAGGCACCCGACTGTAGATTGTGAAAAGAAGCCAAACAGAAAGCGTTGAATACTTGTTTGAATGCAATTACTCCTGCTCTGCACAAACCAGATTCTCTTAACTCACACAAACCCCCCAGAAGCTCCGAGGCAGCTCTAGCAGTAGTGTCAGGTCCTACATCACTTTCTGCGCTTTGATTTATCTATTTGTTTTCCTCCTTCTTGCAAACCTACTGAGCTGTTTGCTCAAAGGGCTTAGAAAATGCTGCGGCACGTATGATTTCTTTGACTTTTCCATGATGCCATACTCAGAACATTTAACAAATGCTAGTTATCCTTTTTTAGTCCTTAGCACGTGGCTTGCCTAAAGCCAGGGAAGGACTTTAGGCAAGGTTAGAAATTTGGGGGTTCCCATTCCCTGGAGCTATAGCAAGATGTTAGATTCACACGCCTTCCCCTCAGATAAATCAGCATTCACCTTAATGAACCAACTCCTGCTGCATTTTGACTGTTACAAAGCCAGTTTAACCGTGCTCAGTTACTTTAAAAAATTGTATGTTTTCTAGAAAAACTGCAAGGTTTCTGCTACGTACTTGCTGAACTTTATGGACCACACATAGCCGAGCTGTAAGTATTGCTGTGTCCTTTCAAGACTTTGCTTAGTTTGTTCTTTACACGTCTGAATGTGCTGTCAGGTTGAAGTGCAGGGGTTTCATTCTTAAAATCATGTTGTTATTAAAGCAGAGATGCTTGAGAGTGATTCTGGTTTGGCATTTGGCACAGCTATTCCTGAGTGAATAAATACAGGCTGCCACTGGTAACCATTTTCATACTCCATTTGAATCTCAGATCAGGCCCACCTGATGTAATTACCTTTTGAAATTCAGCTCGTTTGGCTGAGGGAGGAATTTGAATAACCCGTGTGTGCAAGACAGGTTCTACAGAGTCACGCTGCTGTAATACTTGGCTCTTGCTTTCCCTTTTACCTTTAATCAGGCTTTTTAATTGTCAGCCCCTACATGCTCTCAGCCCCGACCTTAATACGCACTCTTGGGGAAGCCTACCAAGTAATGTAAGTGATTAATAAAATAAAATGTAGGTCATTTTATTCCTCTTTGAAATGTCTTTGTTTAATTAACAGAGCTTTTGCTAGACTTTCTTCCTCCCCAGGGTCTTTATTTTTATTTTTAAAACTAGCCAAGGGACTGCAAAGTGCTTACAGGACTAAGAAGTGCTGTAATCAAACATTTTAATTTAATTCCTGATTAGCTCAGAGGTGTGTCCCAAAAAAGAAAGAAGCAATCCTAGCACTTGTGCTTGGTGATTAAAGGTTAAGGATCTTTGAAGGATTTCTGGTTATTTTCTTGAGTTAATGATTGAACATTCATATCTGCCAAATTGCATATGCATTAACTTTAACCTTTAAATCTTTGTCAGCCTTATGACTGATTAAAAAACAGAACAGTCATAATGTATTTGATTCAGGTGCTGCATAGAAAGCATGGTGCTTTTTCATCGTCCCGGGATTCAATTTTAAATGCTGAATAGGATGCTGTGGCAGAAAATCATTAGGACCCACCGCCATACTGAGCAGCGATTATGGGCCACAGTGAAGGGAGCTGAGGCTATAGTTTGGCGTTGGGGAGATTTAGCTCCCCATGGAAATAGCTTCCACTTTCAAGCACCCAGAAGAACGTGATAATCTTTGTTTTCGCACCATTTCTTTCAGCATAGACAGAGAAATGAATGCCGATGTGGTCTGCCATTCCTTGAAGCTGTGTAAACAGGATCCAGGACAACCACTTTGTCATCTCTACCCTCCTCCAAAGGTGAGTTGGTTTTCCATTTTTTTCAAAACTACAGATTGTGGAAGGTCTTTTCAGCTGGAACTGAAGAGTACAGAGGCTTCCATTGTATATGCATCATCTGGGAAATAAACATCAACATTTTGTGCACGGACACTTCTAGGAAATGTCTGTTTGAATGAAAGGTAGATAACACGCCTTAGCTGAGTGGAGCATCAATAAGATGGTTATGGGAAAGTGGGAATTCCAAGGCCAAATCCTCTTGTACCAGTTTGGCTCAGAGAAGAAGAGCAGGGAAAATAAAATCTGTCCCCAGACTTCATTGTTAAAAGTGGTACCATGACTCCAAAGCGGATACTCAGCTGAGGTTCACCTTGTTACCATGGCATGACAAGTCACCCCCACGTTGCCTGATCTGCTCTGGCAGCCTGTTTGGTGCTAGTTACCCGCTGCAGATGCAGGGCTATTTGACTTGGATTAGTCTGCAATGCAAGAGGTTTAAGGTAACATGCATAATCTTTTTGCCACAGGCTGGAAACATGTTTAGTTACCACTGCTTTTGTGATGTACGGTTACCTGGGGGTTTTTTTGGCCATCATCGTTCATCCTCAGTCACACTAAAACCTGTGAGTGATGGTGGTTGTTTGGCAGTGTCAAAAAGCAAGTGATTTGGTCAGGCATCTGGTTTTGGAAATCTTTTTTCCCTGTGTCTGGATGGATAAAGTCATAGTTGATTTCTAAAGGTTTGCAGAAGATGTTTTCCATAGGGCCTCATCCAACAGCCATTGAAATCAGTCAGAGCCCCTTTACGGGCTTTGCTGAGTCCATCTCCAAGATGGATTTAGTTCTGCCAATACTAAGACCTGGAGAAACACTTGCCTTCCACAAATGGCACTAACATTTGTTTAATAGCAGGTGTGTGTCCCCTATGACTACTGTGTTCCACGCTTTGCCAACACAGAAATATATGGGTGTGCAACCAGGCAGGGGTGAAAGAGAAAGAGGACAGGCAGCTGAAAGGGGGCCCACACTAACTTGACTCAACCAGGATTTTGCCTAAACATCAAACAAGTTTCTTCAGAAATTCTGCATCTAAATCATAGAATCATAGAATTGTCTAGGTTGGAAGGGACCTTTTAAGATCCTCTAGTCCAACCATCAACCTAACCCTGATAAAAACCATCTGGTAAAACAGTCCATGGGTCCTTCCATCCTTCCCCAAGGTCCATCAGAGCTACCCTCCTGCAAGCTCACTTAATGATTACCAGGTCTTTACTCACCCCACAAACATTTGTGAATCTCTAGGACATTCTGCCCTGGTAATTGAGTGGTTTTTTTCTCTCCTCTGCACTTTTAAGAGCAGCAGAGACCCTATCAGTGACTGTGGGGCCTTTCTCCTTTCTTCCTTTCTTTTTTCTTTTTTTTTTTTTTTTCCCCCCCTAAATTAGGAGTCCTGAAGGCAAAGGTGAGAGTCCAGCAGAGGCTGTCAGGCTCCACCATCCCCCAGTGCAGCAGGTCACCCAGGAGGACAGCAGAAGCTGTAGCAATGGTGGCTGCACATCCACCGCGCTGCCAGCCTGAGAGTTAGATTTTTATATGGACTTACTTCCTTTTTGAGGGCAACAAAGAGAAGCAGAAACCTCCCTGCACCCTGACTTCTGCTGGTAGCAGAAGTTCAAGGTGCCCCTTGGAGTGAAAGAGGATGCAGGCAGGGAACTACACTTGAAGAGCGGGATGGACTCTCCGTGGCTGCGCAGCGAGTGAGGCTAATGAGTCTGGAGAGAGGGGCTGTTTAAACTGAGGTGGCTCCCCTGCAGAAATTAGATCTGTGGTGAAATGCTTGGCCTATCGACCAGAGAGGACAGGCTGCCACTCATGGGGTTGCTGTTAAATCTTTGGTTAGCTCTTCCCATCTCTCAGAGGAGGTTTGGGACCAAGCTGTTGACTCCTTCCCCTCCAGCGACTTTCCAATGACTGCACTTTCTGCCAGGAAAACAACTGAAGATAGGGTTTTGTTTTGTTTTGGTTTGGTTTTTAAACAAATTTGGGCTCTCATTTACATGGCCTGCAGACTGTCCCTATGAGTGAGTAGCTCAAGCAAACCCTCTCCCTTCTCCAAGTGGTAGTTAAATCCATTTCTGTCAAGGTGTATTTGTTTCTTACCAAGAATAAAGGAACTCTACCAAGAAAACAATTTTCCTACCCTAACTGTGCCCTACTTTTTAGCTTGCCTTGTGCCCTGAGACAGCGTGAGGAGGCTGGGGGAGATGGGAGGAGAAGAGCAGCGCTTGGAGTTCATGCTCAAGTGGTTGATAAATTGCCCACAGTCACTCTGTGACAAGTCAGACTGAGTGAGGATGAATTATGGGTGAAAAAGAATAATATACAGTCAGAGACACAGATGCATAGAATGCAGTTTACCTCACATTTGCTTCTTTGGTTTGTAAGTTGATTGATCACTTGAGTTATATGAGTCTGCAAATGTTGGCTCAGTCCCCTGCCAAGTGTTTGAACAAGACTTCAATACTAATGAGTGTTTTGTTCAACTTTATTGATTTTCAGGTACTTCATTTATTCCTTTAGACTTTTGGATGCCCGTTTTCTCAGAATTAGTATCATATTTGTACTAGTGATGGGAGTAAAATAAATATAGAGTTCCTTGCCCTTATAAGGCAGTATAATATTCACATTTTAATTGCCTGTAAGGTGGCAGATATCAACACGTAGCCGCTTTTTCAGTCAATAGTTTATTTTGTTCTGTTTCTGTGATGTTGCCCTAGTGAGATTGTGTGTCTCAAGGAATAAAGAGCCCCTGCTCCAGAAGCCTTGCAAACTATCTGTATGATGGAGATGCTGCAAGCCCAGTAAATGATACCTGTGTTCTAATACGTACTTCCCTGGTCTCTGACAAATTAGCCCAAATTAATTTTTTTTCATCAACCTGCCTGGAGCCATTAGTGCTCTGTGATTATTGTAGGGGACCTGGCTCTTATTATGAATAAAAAATATTGCTGCGTGTGTACGGAGCGCAGTGCTGTCAGCATGGAGGGGGAGAGCATCTCACCTGGGTGAGGGCGGCTCCGTGCAGGGGACTTGGGCTGTCCTGCTGGTGGGCAGTTTTAGGAACAGACCTCTGATGTTGGTGGAGAAGCGTGGAAGGGGCACTCACTGCTCCTGAGATCGTTGGCACGGCTGTGCGACCAGTTGTCACTTGTGATGGGGTCCTAGGAGCCCCTAATTGCCACCCGTGGCCTGCAGAGCAGAGCTTGGGCCAGGGCTGGAAGTGTAGGTAGATGGGCACGTGTAGGATCTCCCGCCACATGTTTCTTGCCCAACAAGAGGTTCTCCTCTAACCTTAGTATGAGGGTAGCAACACTTCCTTCAATCAGGAAGAAAAATAATATGACACATGAGAAGTGTAGGCTTACCACAGGTAGCTGGAAAGTCGGCAGTATCTCCAGCTGCTGTGATAATGCTTCATGGTTTAACCTCCATCAACAGCAGATACTCCAACATTGCCTGCAGAGCTGCTCCAAAACGCTGGCAATGGGTATAAGTATCCGAGGTAGCTGGTTTAGGATGACTAAGTATTTTTTAGCCCAAAAAAGTTGATCATCAGTTCACATGGCAGAGAGCTTTCTGCACCAGGTTCTGTGATGCAAGGGCTAAGGTGAGGGGGTTTAGGCACTGCCCATCAAGCTCCCCTTCTGAGCCCAGGAGCAAGCAGGTTTGCAGGAGATTGTTCTCTGCTTGTCTCTAGATTGTTTTAAGCCAGCTGGCCTCTTCAATTAAATGGCAACACTTAAATTGATTTTGTTGGGGCCAGAATAAGGGCTCAACTTCAGCTCTGGAGTCCTGCTGCTGGCAACCTTAAATGGTCTCTGTTGGAAAGAGCTAGTTGTCTTCTTTCTGCCTTTCAGCGTGCCTCTTCTGCTCCCCAGCACTTTTCTGCTCCAGATTATTAGAGACCTTGTGGCTGCAGACTTTAGCTTAATCTCCAGTAGTAGGATTTTGCTGGGAGGCGTTTTACGTCAGCAAAAATACATGTATTTATGCTAATGTCATTTTATCTTGCCAAAATAAGCTTCATTGCCACAAGCAGTCATGCCGGTTCCTGTCCCCTCTATCAGGTCTTTCACTGAGTTCGTAAAAAAGCAAAAGCCAAATCCCTCATGGACATTCCTGCTGCCAGCCTGCTCTTTGACAAAGTAGAAGCCAACCAATTCTGGCTGGGAAAAAAGCAACCTTTCGGGGTTTCATAAAATCAAAGGAACTCTCATTATTTTCTCTCTTTCCTCTCTCGTTTTCAGTGAAAATGTGAACTGCTTCCCGGGGAGGTGAGGCAGAACCAAACTCCGGGGCGGGAGTACTTCTGCAGTGAGAGCAGGCTGGCAGCCAAAGGTAGACCTTCTGGCTGGGACTCCTTTCCTTCTTTTGAGACCACAGACCATAAAGCAAACATCTGGGTGGCAGCCTAGGTCCTGGGGAGCAAGATGCCCTCCTTTTACCCTTTCTTTTTGGAAATAGGTAAAATCTACTGAAATGAGAGTTTTTCTTGCTGCAGTCAGAGCTGAGCCCTGGAGAAACAACCTATGGATGAGCGGTAGCAGAAGGCACAGCTTTAGCTCTAGTTCTTCCTCTTTCACCTGTTTCTTACTATTTTCCCTTCTCCTTTTCATTGGCAGAAAATAAAAGGAAAAACACCCTACCAAAAAAAACCAAACAACCCCAAAAACCCAACACAGCCCCAACCTTCCAGCAAATAAACCCAAAGAAAACAGAGCAGTGTGGTAAGGTTTGCAGGGTGTCCTACCGATGCAGAACATGCCCCAGGCAGGACTTCAGAGAACAAATCTGGGGCCACCCAGAGGCACAGCAGCATTTGGGATGGGAGGATGGCAGGCAAAAGCACGAGGACTTGTCGGGGATGCTGACTCTGTTTTTTGTAGAGGCAAGCTAGAAAAAATGAATCAAAATCTTTCATCCAGAGCACAGAGTCCAAGTCCGAAAGAAACAAGTAGCCAAAACCAAGAAGAGGTTGGAGGTTTCTCCTCTCTGGGAGGAGAAAGGACTGAGTCAGGCCTTGTGTATTTTAGATCTTGCAGGGAAGGTCCCTATTTTGCACCCAGAGCACATACCATTTGGTTTGGCTGTCCCATGCAATCATAAAGGTTCCCCCTACAGCCTCGATAGGAGGAAAGGTGGGAGTTGTAGAACAGATCCCAGTTTTGTCAGTGCTGTGTAACCAGCTCTGCGTCGTTTCAGTGCCTCGGTATCCATACTGGTGGGAAAAGGATGCTGAAAATGAGTTAGAAGGGAAGCTGTTAGAGTGTTTTCTAAATATCTGCTCTCCGGGGAAAGAGCTGGCTAACAAGGATGATAAATGACAGACAACTAAAGTTGGTTTGTGCAGGTTTTTTTATCATGAGAAATAGATCTGTTTGTGAAAAATTCATTACTGGGAATACATGGGCTGCATGGAGAGCGTTGAAAGGTGGCAGTGAGTGAAATCCCAGTGACCCCCTGCCCCAACCCCATCCATGGCAAAGATATCTTGTGTAGTGCCAGGTAGCAGGGCTGCATGGATTCAGGTGGATGGGGCTGGCTGCTCCCCAAGATCTCCATCTGCTGCTGGAGCCTAGGGAACCCCTTCCTCTGTGGGGTTTTCATGCCGTGGGAGAGGTAAGAGGCTGCCTGCTGGCCAAGATGGAGCAAAAGAGGTTGTATGGCCTTTGACAGTGGGCTTGACGTGCTGGTGTCAACCAGGGATTACAGGTGACCCATTAAACCAAGAACTTTTTCTCCTGGATGGGTGTTCCAGCTGCCAGTCCTCCGCAACCCACCCTGGAGGCCTGGCTGAAGTAACATCTGCAATGGGAGGAGATCTCATCCTTTGCATTTCAGAGAGAGCATTTGTGACACACGGGGGCAATTCAGCCTTTCCTCCCTTCTTTTCTGCTCTCTGGGTGTGATATTGCTGTAGGTGTCTGAAGGTGTGCATCTCCTGCACTGCTGCTGAGAGGGAGAGAGGTTTTCTCCTCTCCTGCCCAGCAGAAAGGGAGATGGATGAATCTTACCCTCTCGGGGAATTTTTCATGCGTCGTACTCGGTTTTAACCCATTTTCCTCATCTGAGTCTTGACTTGTTTTGTAGCAGAAAGGAGAGCAGCTGGTAAGGTACAACATAACTGTGGCAAATGCAAGATGTGTGTTTGGTTTTGGGGACAGCAGTTGCCCAGGGGGAAGAAAATAGGAAACAGCATCTTGGCTCCTTCCCAGCATCTTGCATCTATTTGCAAGATATATCCAGATTTTTATAAGACTATAGACACGGTGAATTAAACATATATTAAACACATATATTAATGTGACACACATATTAACAATAATAATAACTTAGAAGTCTGTGTTCCTTGCTGCTTGTTCTTATTCTTCCTTATCCCTTTATATTGTTCCCTATACATTTTTGACCCTTGAATATCACAGTTAATTAATTTGCTTTGATCACTGCCTAAATCAATTACAATGACATGCTACATTTTATCTCCAATTTAAAAAATGTTGGTAATGGTTGCTTTAAATGCAAATATATGCTGCTTTAATATTCCAAGCTGGCATGCCCGCTGTTCAGCAAGGTGCCATCACTCGAGGGATAATTTTTCCAAATGCTTTAATACTACCATTTGGCGAAGCATACTTTTTTTTTTCCCCCTGTGTTGAATTCCTGTAGCTCCTGCCAGATAAATATAAACTTATGCTGAACTTTACCTCGGTGCCCTTGGACCCAGTCTGTGTGAAGCTAGGAGTTCTGTCCTTAGGCTGGGCTGTAGGACAGACTGATGGAAGGTCGTCGTCAGACAGAACAGTTTGTCCTTGCCAACCATTTTTGATCAGAAACAAAGTGCTAAATAGGTTTGTGATGCACCAGAATTTTCTTTCCATTTGAAACATTTTATAGAATAATTGATTTTTCTATCTTTTTTAAAAATTTTATTTCGTTTTTTTAACAATCCTCAAAACCTACAGAACAAAAGCAGTTATTCCTTCTGAAAGAGGGCAAATGGGCAGTATTGTAAACCTTCTTCATGCTGAATGTTGAGGGGAAGGACAGAGGCCATCACACAGATACTGCCTCCCAGATATGACTGTTAGCAAAGGTAGCCTAGCAAAATAGGGGAATTATCATCACTGATGATGATAACTTGGTCTAGAGAACAAGCCATACAAGGAGAGGCTGAGAGAACTGGGCATGTTTAGTTTGGAGAAGAGGAGGCTGAGGGGAGACCTCATTGCCCTCTACAGCTCCCTGAAAGGAGGGTGGAGAGAGGTGGGGGTTGGCCTCTTCTCCCAAGGGAATAATGCCAGGAGCAGAGGAAATGGTCTGAAGTTGGGGCAGGGGAGGTTTAGATGAGATCTTGGGAAGAATGACTTTCCTGAGAGGGTGGTCAGGCCCTGGAAGAGCCTGCCCAGGGAGGTGGTAGAGTCACCATCCCTGGAGGTATTTAAGAAACGTGTAGATGTGGCTCTTCAGGGCATGCTCTAGTGCCCGGGATTGTTGGGTTGTGTCTGTCTGTGGCTGGGTGTGGTATGTGGGTGGTTTTGTTTGGTTTTTTTTTGTTTTTTTGTCTTGTGGTTGGATTCGGTGATCTCAAAGGTCCCTTCCAACCATGGAGATTCTGTGATTCTGATTCTGTGAGATGGAAGAATATCGGCCAAAAGTTAGAACGGAGCAGCAGAAGGGAGCACGCTGGTGTTACGCTGCCAAAACCAAATACTCCTGCCTGAAGATTGCACCCAGGTCTGCAAGATGATTCGCCTCAAGGGCACTGAGCAGCTGGCTGTCTCATGAGCAGGGCACCCATCTCATAGCACAAACTTAAACCACCCTCCCAGACTCCTGTGACTAGCTTATTTTTTTTTTCATTGACATCGTGGGATCTTCTTTTCCTATGGGAAGATGTGGCTGAATTTAGGAAATGCTGTTCATCAGGGTTGTTAAACATTTTGGACTGCATGAGGACATCTCCTCACCCCCATGGCTGGGTAGAGTCCTCAGAGGAGGAAAATCAGTGTGGTCCTTCCGTGTTGTGCTGCGGGCCACGTTCCTTAAGGGCAGAATAAACACTTAACAGCGGGGTGCAGAAACAGTCCCTGCTTTTTTCCCCTGCCTCAGCATTCAGCCAGGCAGAACCCAGGGCTGGGGACCTGTAAAATGTACCCATTGAGGATTTTGCAATGGCAGAGCCTAAAGGAAGGGCTGAGAGCAGGACCTCAGTAGTCCTTAGCAGTTCTTGGCCCTGGTAAGCAGCGGTCGCTGTGCGTTTGACCACAGCCCTGCTGCACCACACATGGCACGTCTGTCCTCCTGCTGCCAGCAGCACTGCTCCCTGGCTCTCACTCACACCCACAGCTGGTGTCCCTTCCACAAAATTTCCTTTCCCCCTTTGAGGAGCGTGCATGTGAAGGGGAAGGCATTTGGGGAGTTCTTAGGGTGTTAGCAGTTGTAACCCATGGCCTTACAGTGGCCAACCTGTTTTCCTTTGATAAAGATGCTTTTTCAAGGTCTTTTCTTGCAGTGGTTCTCCTACTCTTCCTTGCTCATTAGGTATAGGTATCCCTCACTTTGGAAGAATCTCCAAATGCTTTCTCAACACAAATTTGCATGAACCCAATAGAAAAATGATCTTGCTCCTGTCTGTGAGAACTTGCCCTCTGGGGCAGGTATTTCCAGAATAAAAAGCTAACCTTTCTAGATCCTAAGCAGGAGGTTTGTCTTCCAAACTCTATTCCTTGCTTAGGATCCAGATGTTCTGCTGCTGAGGGAGACTTTAGCTGAGAACCACCCTTATCCATGCAAGACCAGATGTTTCCTCTATACCCTTCTGCAGCAAGTCAGACCAGCATTGCACGTGTAACCTTCTTTTGACCATCTAATGGACAAGTTCTTTGTCAGGAGTCACTGAATTCTGTCCTCTGCAGCTCGTGCGGTGCAGTTGGGATATGAATCTCAGTTCTTTCAGTCATCTGGACTTTTCCTTAGAAAATAAATGATGCCCTGAAGCAAAATAAATGAACCCTCACAATTGGAGTTTCACAGGGGCTGATCAGATAATTGATTGTTAGTCCAATAAAAAGGAACTGATGAAGAGTTTGTGGACTCATACATCATTTTTGCACTGGGACTGATATATTAAAAAAAAAAAAAAGGTAGAAAATGGGGAGAAAAATTGGTAGATTACTGTGAGGCTGATCTGTTCTGGTTTTTATTTGGTTTTGTTCTCATTCTCCTAGGTGGGGCTGAGTACTGCAATACGGAAAGCGAAAAGAATGATGAAGAATTCCAAGGATCTGGTAAGAAATCAGTGGCATTAGAGTGTTTTACACTGTACCTGCATTTTATCAGGAGTGAGTCCTCGTTTATGGTGCCTAATTGTAAACCCACCTAATCATCATTGAATTGAATGCTGACTCACTCCTACCCGGTATAGGATCTGCTCTGTCAGGTGACACTGGGAAGAAGGAGAGGGAGATAACAGAGAGGAAATATGAGAGTGTGGCGAGAGCAGAAAAAGCCTCATGAAAAATTCACCAGACTGCTTGTAGAGTAGGGATAACCATCCGTATCCATCCAAGACATAAATTTGTGTCTGAAATTCATGCAGCAGCTGAGGATATAATCCAAGAGCTCCATAGTACAGCTCCAAGTGGAGACACTTGCTTCTACTAGCCCAACTCACCTTTCAGGCAGCCAGCCTTAAAACAAAATACAAGCAGACATAGATTTTATTTAGATTGTTTTACGAGAAGCAGGAATTTCCCACTTAGCCTTGCCCTGTACTTTCCCATCCAGAGAAGCTTCCTTCCTGCCTTTCAACTTCTTGCAAGCTCCTCCATGTTTCATGCTTCTCCCTTGTCCTTTGTCATCCCTGCCTTGCTTTTGTAGCCATGTGTAAGTGGGAGCCACTTGAACCGAGCCAACGCCTCGGAGCACGGTGACTCCACTTTGGGGTTGTCTGAAACTCAAGCAATGGCCTGAATGCAAGTTCTGTGTATTTTTTCCTTTCTTTTTGAGAGGTTGCGTTAGCCTCTAGACTTGAAAACTGGCATCTGAAATCTTTCCACCTCCTCCAGTTGTAAGATTTAGGGAGGATGTCTAAAGGACAGCAGAGAAGGGAAGGGCAGCTTTTATTCTGCTGGGTTCACTTGTATGAGTCAGCTCAGCCATCGAGTTTGCTCCAGTTGTCTTCAGGCACTTAATGCAGAGCAAATGTTTTTGCTGTTTGGGAAGAAATTATTGATACTGCTTCTTCCTGAATCCTCACTGTGATGCTAGTCACAAAAGTGAAAATTGAGGTGCCTAATTAGCCTTTGGGCAATTGCCAAATTGCCAAGCCAGGGAAATAAACAATGCGCTGGAGAGAGGGCTTTCAGCTCCCGCAGAACAGCAACCAGCAGGATCTTATTCATTTTCCTTCGTCTTCAGGGCTGTGCTACTGATGGCCTGAGATTGCCGCTCCGATTACATGCAATTTCTAATCCTCTTTCCCCAGGGTGCAAGTCCCCATGTTAACACCTGCAGCGAGATGCTCTGAGTTCAAGGAGGTCCTCTCTGTTTGCCTGAGCCCAGGTGCAGGCATGAAGAGATGTTGGTGCTGCCTCCCAGGACACGGGGGCTCTTTTCATTCATGATTCTACCCTTGGCACATCGGGCTGTGTCCCTCGTGTGCCCACCCCATCTTCCATCTGCGGGCCATGCGTGCCGCATCCTTTCGGGCTCTCCTGGGTAGGGTGGCACGGTTGGCATCAATGGGATCTCCTTCCAACTTGCCTCTATTCTCCTGTATCCTCAAAGCTGCTTGATGCCCTGGTGCACCTCTATCTCCCTTGCTCTGTATCACATTGCCCTTGGCCTCTTTCTGCTCCTACTTGCCTATTTAGGAGCAGGAGGGATGAGCAGACTGTATCTCAGCTAGAAGTATCAAGGCCATGGTTATAGTTGGGTTTCTCCAGTCAATGTATTTCCAAACCCACAAAATAAGGTCAGTTTAAATTAAAACAAGTATCATGTAGTTGGTTGGCCCTCTCCTGTGGTTATTGCTGGCACGTCCCTTTAATGATCCTTGTTGAAAATTATTTTAAAACTACAAAATTAAAAATAACAACATATCTAGAAGCATTACAGTTTCTCGCAACTTCCCCTTCAGCTGGGCTGTAGTTAATTTAATTTCAAATCCAGAAAAACAACGTAGTAAGAAACACAAGGGAAGATCTCCAGAAGTGAGCACTGTGTGTATCTCACCCACACAAGCCCCATACCCTGGAGTGGCAGCGTGTGATGAAACGGTACGAAAATCACCTGCACAAACTCAACACTGCCAAATCATGGTCACCTGCTCAGGCAGACACACGAGCAAGAGCCAAAGCAGCTGGGGTGCTCTCACTGCTCAGGGAGAGGATTGCCTGGCTGAACGTGTGGGTGAGGATCCAGAAATGCCCTGACTGTGGCAGGACATCTCTGCGTCCGCACTAGTGGAACAGTGTTATAATTCGCCTGGCATCTTTTATGGTCTGGCTCATGCTGGACAGAAATGTCAAATTATATCTACTCATTCTTCCTATTTCTGCTATTTTGGTTGCTTTTGCTCTGTTGCATAGAATCATAGAATTGTCCAGGTTGGAAGGACATCTCTGCGTCCGCACTAGTGGAGAGAGAAAAGCATTCGCCTGGCATCTTTTATGGTCTGGCTCATGCTGGACAGAAATGTCAAATTATATCTACTCATTCTTCCTATTTCTGCTATTTTGGTTGCTTTTGCTCTGTTGCATAGAATCATAGAATTGTCCAGGTTGGAAGGGACCTTTCAGATCATCTAATCCAACCATCAACCCAACTCTGATCAAACCCATCACTAAACCATGTCTCTAAGCACTAGGTCAACCTGGCTTTTCAGTACCTCCAGGGATGGGGCCTCAACCACTGCCCTGGGCAGCCCAGTCCAAGGCTTAATCACCCTTGCAGTGTCAAAATTGTTCCTAATCTCCAATCTGAATCTCCCCTGGTGCAGCTTGAGGCCATTTCCTCTTGTCCTATTGCCTCTTACTTGGGAGAAAAGACCAACCCGAAAGCCTTCTGAAGAGGTTCTTGCAAATTAGCTGTCCCCATCTTTGCTTGGCAGCTGTGTGTGACTGTGTAAAAGAGAGACATGATTATGGCTGTTGGTAATGAGGAAGAGAGGTCTGTCTGGCTTCCAGGGGGGTTGCATTTTCTGGGCATTTCTTAGGATCATTGTGGATATGGGAAAAAAAAAAAGATGTTTTCCAGATGTAGAGATGCAGTGAAAGTGGCTACAACCCCCAAAAAATCTAATAAATGTCTCCATTCATTAAAAGTAGTGAGCCATCTGTGAGCAACTGGCTTGAACCAAACACCAACAAGCATTATGGGCTCATTATTATTCTTTTTTGTAAAGCCAATTAAAATAATTACGGAAATGTCATTAGAGGATGTTAGTAGGCAATGAATAAAATACTGCTGTTATCAATCACTGTGAGCACCTCTAGTGCTAACTTTTCTCATGGGTGGAAAAGGTACTAAGAGGCATCTTTGAGCAGCAGCAGCAGTAAAAGAATGACAAATAGAGTCATGACTGTAGCATTTAATGAGAGCAAGCACCACACGTGCAATCCTGTCGTGACTACACGGTGCCTGCAGCTCACAGCCCAGCGGCAGGAAAAGTGGGAAGCCACAAAGGGAACCAAAAGGGAATTGCAAGGCAAAGGAGGGTATAAACCAGTCTTCTGCCCACCCAGCTCATGTTATGCAGGGGCAAGTAACCCGTCTCCTCCTAAAACTACGTACTGCCCTCGTAGCCTGGCTCTGCTGGGAAGGGCCCTGTGGTACCTGCTGTCACCTGTGCTCTCCCACTCTCTTGCTTACACAGACACATGCAAAAATTATCCCCTTTTTTAACCCTGTGATCCTTGCTGCCTTTTAAGAGTAGCCCAAGACACCCTCGAAGAGCAGATGAGCTGCTTTCCTGCACATCCTCAAGCAAAGCTGAAGCATTATGTCTGGGCAGCTGGAGCCAGAGGAGCAGGACCATGTTGGTCTTTCAGCTCAAGGAAAAGCCCCGCTGCCTGGCTACTTTTGGCCATTTCTATCCACTGCAGTTGTATTTGGTTTCTTCTTTGAATCCACTGACACCCCCTCCACCTCATAGACCCTCCAAGATGGTGTGACTCCAGCCTTGTCATTTGAGTGAGTTGGACAGAGCTGAAGAGAATTGATGGCATTTTTGCAGGTGTCTCATCTCTTGCTTCCCCTACTTTCCTCCTTTTTCCTCTCCTTGGATTTCTCTGTTGAATCCTTCAGAAAGTGCACTGTTACCTCCTGCAGGTCTCCCCCATAAGGTACCACTCTTTTTCACCTCCACCTTGCTGCTTGGTCACTTCAGCCACCAGTGCAAATGGTGGCTACCATCTTTGTACTTGGGGCTCTATCCTCTTTTCACCACCCCAGCCCTCCTCTCCACACTGAGATCTGTGGTTGACCTCCTGCTCTGGGCAGTGGAAGACCCTCATCTCCATCACCCCTTGTTAGCTGTCCAAGCAAGCTCCTTCCTGCCTTCCCTGGAGCTGCAGGGCACTGCCCTGTGTGTTGTGGTCCCACTGCCCTGCATGTTGTGGTCCCACTGCCCTGCAGTGCTGCCTCAAAGCCCTCCTTCGTCACTCTAATCACTTTATACACTGGGGTTACTGCCCTTCATGGTGGTTAATAACCCCTTGTTGTCCTCTCCTGAGCTGTATCCAAACCTTTGCCTTCCATTTTATGTTAGATTTGGGTTATAATCTCGTTAGGGCAAGAACCATCTTCTTTTTTCTTGGTGTATATAAAGCGTGTAACAGAAGGAAGTTGGTCCAAGGACAGAGCTCTTCAGTGCTCTCACCATATAAATAATTACCCCTCTTTGCATAAAGTTAGGAGTATGCCCATCGGCTCCTCTGGTCCATATGATGATGATGATCCACATGCTGAATGTGAGTACAGTTAATTAGAGTGCGTGCCGACTAGCCCTTGGTATTTATAGACCACTTGAATGCCCTCAGTGTCTAAAGACCACCTCAACTTGCAGTGCAGCTGCACGAGCAGCACGTTTGTGGGCTCAATGGCTGATGCAGCTCAACGTTTCTGTAGCTTGAGCATTCATGAGGAAGGTCTGGGTTAGCTTCTGAAGCCTCCTGCCTACCTGGAACCTCAACTGGATTGCCCCATGGCTATGGTCTACTAATGTTGAAAGAGTTTATGCGGCGGCAGCGGTTTTTTACATCTTACAGGTCTGGCCGAGATGAAATCCAGTTATGAGATTGCCAGGTAAAAATCTAATTGAAAAATCAAGGGCATTTTTATGCACATGCTGGATCCTCCATTTGTCCTTTCTTTGGGGGTATTCCTCACCTTTTCTTTATCCACCCCTCCCTGGCCTCATGGCCCACAATTTATTGTTTTCGCTAGTTTCACACTAAGTGCCAGATGCCATCGTGTTTATCAAATAGGAGAGCAGTCATTTTTACAAAGAATGAAAGAAGTAACTTGGGTACGTGAGAGGAGACAGTTTCACAGGAACGCCTTCCTTCCTTTCTAATTTTATAGCTCTTTGAAAGCAAGAGGAGTTGGTTTGTAAAATGTTCAGTCAAAACCCTTAAGTTGACTGGTGTGGCAGGTCTGTATACTCTGTCATGCAGCATCTTTAACGGAGTCATTGGAGTTTTCAGATTCTTTTTAGGCAGAAAATACATTATTTAGGTCTAGACTTTACTGACACTGAATATCCCAAGCCACACCAACTCTGTGAACTAATGCACCTGTCTTCTTTTATTTTCTTCCTCTCCAGAAGATCTTCACGGGGTTCTCCAGTGTATGTGCATTTCCTCTTCTGGCTAACCTATGTGAGAAGATTAAATAGTATGTATAAAGTTTTCAGTCCTTAACCAGAAACAGAATATGGTACATTTGTTTCTTTCAAAAGTCATGCTCAGTTAACAAAGCTTCCTATGCTCTACTTCTCTTGGTTTCCTTCATAAAACCACTGTTCGGGTAGCATAGAGGGACATTGCCCAGAGTTAAGGTAAGAAAGATTTCTCAGAGGGATCTCGGTGCTTTTTTAATACTTAAAATATTTGCATCATTTTAGTACGTCCCAAAGGTCAAATATATGACACACTCAAAGGTATGACACCTCCAAGAGGGAGTCAATGTTCTCCTGAGATTCCTGAGCCCAAGAGACTTCTCCATTTCATTTATTCACCCAGTTGTCGCGCCCATGGCTCTCAGTGCAGGAAGGCCACCAGCACCTATATGACTCTGTTAGGAACATGAATTGAGTGGCAGTTGCAAAGTGTAGGAGAATCTCAAGATATTTAAGAAAGCTGGGAGGATGGTGGACAGGAGAAGCAACTTATGGTAGCGCTGACTTTCTGAGAAAGGCTGAGGAATCAGCTGGGTTATTACTCCTAAAGCGTATTTGCCAACGTACTCCAATGAGTTGGAGTCAAGTAAATCTAAGAATAAATTGGTAATATTCACCTGCCAAAATTAACTTGTTCTCCTGTTTCTGCTCATTTAATTGAAACTGCAAATATCAGGAGTTTATTTGGAACAGACTGATTAACATGAAACATCTCTTAAGTGCCTTTGAAATGTAAGTCAGGACAAATAATCTGAGTTTGAGCGCCGTGAGTTCAGGCAGTGGAAGCAGGAATCAAATTGTGTATCGCACGTTGGATCCAACACGTTTGATCCATTGGTTAACTACATTGGTTAATGTAGTTAAGCACTGTGGAGGATCTCCGAGGGCTTGGGTCTCCATTGCTCAAATCAAGGTATTCTTCAAACATTCTCTTGAATATTTGAGCGTGACCTGCAGTTTGTGGGACTAGACACAGAAATTGCCAGGTGAAACTCTGAACCTCAGTTAAAGCATAAGGCCACCTGTGAATTCAGCATATATGACCCTTCTTCATATTAAATCCGCATTTACCCTATAAAATAAGCATTTTTTTGGCTGTATGTGAGTAGCTGCAGACTGGTACACAAACTGCAAGTCTTCTAGACTGGACACAACAGGAGAGAGGCAGTGTAAGGCTTGAGGGATGGATTTGAGAAAGGGTATTTGCCATTTGTTTTTAACAGAAGAGGGAGGTTAGTCTCCATCAGCATGAGGCTCCATCCTTCAGCTCTTTCCCAGTTAGAAGGACTTCTGCCAGACTGAGTGTAGTATTTATTTCCTAGTTTGTTTTAGAGGCTCAAGGTTCAAGATGGCACGTAGTATTTATTTCCAAAAATGATAGTTACTTTTACCACAGATTTGACATCCTAGTTGTTTTAGAGGCTCAAGGTTCAAGATGGCAGCCATACACGAGCCCATCAGCCTCACCTCCAGAGCTCTGTCATCAGAGAATGAAAGAAATCAGAATTTGTTCCTCTGAACAGAATTATCACAACAGATTTGAACTGAATATGGAGCTGCAAGCATCATGCCAGCTGTTATCTATTCTGTATGCTTTACTGTGGGATTTATTTTCTCCTTTCTGAATAGGTTTCCTTCCATACATTAACACTGAGTTTGTTGCGTTTTTTTTTTTACAGTGTTATAAGAAATAAACTGCCTTTTGAAGATTTTGATGGAGATAAATTTAGTACTTTCCCGGTAAGCAAAGCCTTTCCTTTGCTACAGTAATCTCTTGATAATGAGGAAGGCTATGGGATTCCTCTTACTTTCTGCAAAACCTTAGTCATTCATGTGAAAGCAGGTATAGGAGTGAATGGAAGATTAGGGGTTTTTTTGGTCATAAAAGATGGGGTTTTTTCTGGCCGAAAAAACAATCATTCATTTCTGCCACCCGAGGAGATGCACACATAAAGCTGTGCTCCCTGCAGAAGCAAATTGCTCTGCTGCTGAGTGGTCTGTTTACTCAATTAATAAGAGGTGAAGTCATAAAAAAACCCCATCAAAAAACCAAATTAAATTGCCAGCTTGTCTTGTTTCTGCACCAAAGTGTTCAAGGTGTCGTTTATTAAAGCTTAGCAAAGGGACTCTGGAATACAACCCATTTATTGAGTTTTATTCTTACACCTTGAGTTAGATTCTTATTTTAGATATTTTAAATTAAAAGTGCAAGAGTAACAATGAACATGCTGTGTGCTTCTCCTGGCTTTCAGACGTTGAGGGGCTATCACTGGCGAGGCAGAGACTGCAACGACAAAAATACCACCGTGTACCCTGGCAGACGGTAAAGTTTTTAATTATTTTAAAAGCTTCCTAGTAATTGTGGCTTCTTGAGGAACAAACTCCACATTTGATTTTGGCCATACTCTAAGAGTCACTGCGTGTTGCTTGATTTCACTGTGATGGAGATGAGAGGGGATGAGTGAGACCAAGGATGGGGCGCATTAACGTGAGGGGTGGTCCAGAGGTTTTTCTCCTTTCTCTGAAGTGCCTGCAGCCAAAATTGGTCAGACAGACCAAAGGTGGGGAGGGAGACCAAACCACTGAGGCTTATAAGCCTTATGCCACTTGAGCTAATACAGGCAGAGCTCAGAGGGTCGTGATTAGTGGCACAGAATCTAGTTGAAGGTCCGTAACTAGTGGTGTTCCCCAGGGGTCAGTATTGGGTCCAATCTTTTTCAATATATTCATCAATGACCTGGATGAAGGAATGGAATCCTTCCTCCAAGTTTGCTGATGACACAACACTGGGAGGGGGGGGCTGACACACCAGAAGGCTGTGCCGCCCCACAGCCAGACCTGGACAGGCTGGAGAGTTGAGCAGAGAGGAACCTGATGAAATTCAACCAGGGCAAGTGTTGGGTGCTGCACCTGGGGAGGAATAACCCCCTGCACCAGGACAGGTTGGGGGTGACCTGCTGGAGAGCAGCTCTGAGGAGAAAGACCTGGGAGTCCTGGTGGACAACAGGATGCCCATGAGCCAGCAATGGGCCCTTGTGGCAAAAGAGGCCAATGGCATCCTGGGGTGCACCAAGAAGTGTGTGACAGGTTGAGAGAGGTCATCTTGACCCTTTACTCTGCCATGGGGAGGCCCCATCTGGAGCACTGGGACCAGTTCTGGTCTCCCCAGTTCCAGAAGGACAGGGAACTGCTGGAGAGGGGACAGCAGAGGCTACAAAGATGATGAGGGGCCTGGAGCATCTCCCTTATGAGGCTGATCAACACCTATAAATACTTCAAGGGTGGGTGTCAGGAGGATGGGGCCAGTCTTTTTTCAGTGGTGCCCAGGGACAGGACAAGAAGAAATGGGCACAAACTTGAATGTGAGAAGTTCCATCTCAACATGAGGAGGAACTTCTTGACTTTGAGGGTGGCAGAGCCCTGGAAGAGGCTGCCCAGAGAAGTGGTGGAGTCTCCTTCTCTGGAGGCATTCAAACCCTCCTGGACACATTCCTATGGGACCTGCTCTGGGTGGACCTTCTTTGGCAGGGGGTTGGAGGAGACGTTCTCCAGAGGTCTCTTCCAACCCCATAGCATTCTGTGATTCTTTGATTCTGTAGGCTGTGTCTGCTTTAGGGAGCAGCAGGGTGGGAAAGCAAAACAGTGGTTGGCTGCTGAGCTCCAGCATGCAATCCTCCATCCATTGGTGGAAATCTAGAGCTAAATATGTGCCCTTCTAAGTGCATATCATCTAGGTGAATGCTTCTCAGCTGCCTGAGCATGGACTTCCATGCACATGAAACGGAGAACAGCCAGTTGTAACAGAGCGGCCTTCAGCAAATTCCTTGCTCTTCCTATTTGACTCTCTTGAAAACAGAGCTCTCCTTTACCATGGGTTTGTTAGAAGTCACTGACTAGGAGAGTTTGTAAAGCCTAGGGGTTAACCAGCTTGTGACTAGATAAGTTGAGTTTAAGGATGTGGGAGAATTAGATTACTTGGGAGAATTATGTGCCACCAGCAGCAGAGGACACCTGCATTAGCAGAAATGGGTTTCCAGAGTGGTTGACTGAGCAGATGGAGTCTCCCTGTAAAAGAGACCTGAGCTAATTACACTGTGTTGTGGGCCAGAGCAAATCCTCATTAACCTTGCACTGAATTTGGAGTGAGGGGCTCACTGGATTTCAGTGAAGACTTAAGGAAAAGGGAGGGGAAAAAGAATCTGTGCTCTCCAAAAATCATCCCCATTCACTTCACTAAAGTGAATATGAAGACTAAAAAGTAAGCTTCATTCATCAGCTTCCAGTATTAACTTTAAATTAATACTGCATTTTGCTAGGCAAAATTGCCTTTCCTAGATTCAAAGGGGGAACAGCCCCCTGTTCTGTGCTGAAATGAATTTCTAATTATTTTATATTCTTAATGAAATATAGCAGAAAGGATCTGATTTCCTCAAAAACTCATTTTGCTTTCTTTTTCTCTAACACTGTATATTCTTTTGTAACTCTGTTTTAGTCCTGATAACTGGGATGTGAAAAGTGACTCTAACTGCAATGGCATATGGGTAAGTAAATGATGTTACATCTTATACTTCCTTCCAGATTGCTTCTTCTCTCTTTTTTTTTTTTTTTTTCCCTCCTTTTAAATTAGTCTCCAAATGTTTCTTTTGTACTCATTCTGGTTTATTAACCGATTTGGATTCCTCCTATTTATTTACTGCCTTTGATATGCCAAATAATAAACCTGTATTTATTAAAAACTAAGCAAACATAGCGGAAGCAGTTATGAGTGAAGTTTGTTTATTGATGCTTGTGATTATTTAAATTATAGCTATTATAATTAAATGTACATATACTTATTAATGTAATGGAAAACATCATTATCATGATGTAGGGCTTCCTGCAGGCAAACATTCAAGAAGAACTGAATTCTCAGCTTCTTTTTTGCACAGCCATTTCTCAGGCACTACATAGATACTATCATCTGCCCCTTCTCTTCCCCAACAGGGCGTGGATCCAAAAGATGGAATTCCCTACGAGGAGAAGTTCTGCAAAGGTAACTATTTACACTCAATACAAGAAACGGTGTGTCTTTTGTATTAATTTCATAAATTTTTTAGGCTTTTCACAGTCATTTCCAATGTAGGGGAAAGACAACGGGCTTCAGCATCATAGAATTGTCCAGGTTGGAAGGGACCTTTCAGATCATCTCGTCCAACCATCAACCTCACTCTGATCAAAACCATCACTAAACCATGTCTCTAAGCACTAGGTCAACCTGGCTTTTCAATCCCTCCAGGGATGGGGCCTCAACCACTGCCCTGGGCAGCCCAGGGAACCTCATGAGAAAGGCAAAAGGGCAAAACAATTCTATTCTTTTTTTACCTTGAGGATGGGCAAGGATGAAATTGAAAAACACATGCTGTTGGTAATTTCATGTTAAAAGCCAGCTCAGTTATTAACTTTAAATACATAGATAAGGGACAGCAGGAAACCCAGCTGTCACCTCTGCATCTTCCGTGATGCCTGAAGCCCAATCCAGAGGGGTGGCCTTGGATTCAGGAGAGCAATTTAACACCTGTGTTTGTCCAGTTTGTCCCATTGCTGTAAATAACTGAAATTTATTGCTGTAAATAACTGCAATCATGCTCCTACTTTTCTGGAGAAGGCCTTAAAGAGGTGAAGTGATGGCATCAGCTGATGTGGGTGCCTGTGTATGGACACATGGACAGATAACATTTATATCAGCATCCTAAGGATGAACCTGGGGATTACCTGGCAAGACATTTCAACAGTTACAGATCAAAGGCCATCTACAAATGCGAAGTAGCATTAATTATAAACCAGCCAGATTGTTCCAGCAGAAACACTCTTATGAGTGTTATGACATTAGGAAACAATTCTTCACAGAGAGAGTGGTAGGGCATTGGAATAGGCTGCCCAGGGAGGGGGGTGAGGGGTTGAGTCCCCATCCCTGGCTGTGTTTAAGGGACGTTTAGATGTGGTGTTGGGGAATATGATGTAGGGGAGAACTTTAGAGTAGGGTAGATGGTTGGACTTGATGATCCCAAGGGTCTCTCCCAGCCTAGATGATTCTGTGATTCTATGATTCTGAGTTGCCCATCCACCACCTAGTTCTGTTCTAAGGAGCTTTGAGCAATTTCCTGAGTAATCTGATTTCCCTAAATGTTTAAATACTTTTTAATGCGTATTCTGTGGGTAGTAAAAAATAAATGTTGCCTGCACAGCCGAGACTCTGCTGAAATAACACATCCATCCTTGCCTACAACCAGGATTTTTTTCTGCCTAGCAAGACCTCTCCCTCTTTTTCATGCCCAGTCCCCAGCTGTTTCTCCAGGCTTGTTGGCACATGCCTGTTAGTCAGGTTTTGCTGCAGATGGAACGAAAATCCCATCGCAGGGTCTGAACACTTCAGCCACGTGACGGGTGGTGTAGCCAGTCCCCCCCTGACTCCATCCCCTGCCCTTGCTGTTGCCCCGTTGGGCTTGTTCTCCACCTTCTGTTGCGGTTTGCTCTTTCTGGCTCATGTGACTAATAAAATGCCTCAATTAGGTGCGGACTCGCAGGGGGTCGTGCTGTTGGGAGACTCAGCTGGCGCTCACTTCCACATCCCTCCTGAGTGGATGACGGTCACGGAGATGTCAGCGGTGAGGAATCGTGCTCGGGTGGCCAAAACCGCTCCGCCGGGGGTTGCCGTTTGCATTCTCCCGTGTGCCACAGGGCTACCGGGGGGGGGAACAAGGGCAAAATGCCTCATTGCACTGGAATTTATAGCCATGGGCTGACGTCTGCCAGTGCCCTCCCTCAGCTGCTCTTCTGAAGATAAAAAGGCACAGCCCTGAGCCACTGCTGCTCCCCCGACATCTGTGCAATTGGGTCAGGGAAAAGTTTGGCTTCGGTGGCCCAGCGCTGTGCCAGAGACACAAAGCAGGACATCTGGCTGGCAGCGCACGTGCCTGCGGTTTGAGGAGACCCGTGCTGCCTGTGGGATCGGTCCTGTCGTTAGCGGGCCTGTTGGTACGGCTCCTCGGTGTGCTAGTGCTGCAGAAGTGACACCACTGACAGGACACGATCTTCTCATTTAGGCTTCTGGCCTTGAAATTACAAATGATAAGAGTCGTAGAATCACAGAATGGTTAGAGTTGGAAGGGACCTTAAAGATCATCGTGTTCCAACCCCCCTGCCCTGGGCAGGGACACCTCCCACCAGACCAGGTTGCTCAAAGCCCCGTCCAGCCTGGCCTTGAACACTTCCAGGGATGGGGCAGCCACAGCTTCTCCTGGCAACCTGTTTGTTTTCTCTCATCTCTGGCATACGCGAAATAGGTCTAGTAACTCCAGTGTTCAGGCTTTGAGGCTTATTGCACAAATATATCTGCAGGTGTTTGGGGGTTATCCAAAGGTTTATAACGGACTTGTCCTAAAGGGAAGAGCTTCTGTAGCGACCGTAAAATCCCCTCAATACATGGATGTCTGTCTTTGGGCAGCATCCCAGCATTTCCCGTTTTCAAACAGTGACAAAATGCCCCTGACTGTGAATTATGCTGAGCCTCAGCTGTTGCAGTTCACTGGCGTGGAATTAAATAACCGAGGGGAAAAAGATCATTCCAGCAAACTGCAGCTGGGAAGGGGGTGGGGGTAAAGGTGCAGGTAAGCTCCTGCTCTTTGCTGTTATCTCCTATTCCAAGATGGTGTCATTCCATAGCCCAGGAGGACGGTGCGTTGTCCTTCTCGGCGCAGCAGGGAGCGGATAGATCGGCGTTGCCCCCTTTCTCTGCTGAAAACATGCTATTCCTCCACTGGCCTTTGTGGAAAATAAGATACGGACATTTTCTGGAGAACAATACTTATTCCAAAATGTCAGTAGTTACAGTGCTGGTGGAGATCTGAGAATTTTGTGTATTTTCCCACTTTTGCCCCCAGGGCTGAGCTGATTTAAATGTTGCAGATTAGCAGTTGTTTTTCTTTGTTAAACGTTTATGAGCAATGATTAGACCAATGACACTGATGACAGAGCTGATGATGAGCATAATAAATTAGCACTAATGATAATTGAGATTATCTTGTCTAATAAAGATGGTAATAATGCTGATGGTGATGATGATTCTGGCAGCAACGCTGGTAGCAGAGCCATGTCAGCATTTTATTATCACCGAAATGAAGGTTTAGGAAGCATTTCTCTTGCTTGAAGCTTGCTGGTCCACTAGTTGGATGGATCGAGGGCTAGTAATGGCGATGCAGAAGCAGAAGCTTCAAGGTCAGGAGCTGGAGTGCAGATTATAAAGTGAGTTTTGATGGCACTTTGTTACTGGCTGATGGGTGCAGAGCAACTTGCATGGAAAGGGAACCATGTGTAAGACCCAACAAATGCATGCTCTCAGTGGTCAACGCATCTGGCCGACGCGTGGGGAAGGTCAAGGACCGGTTGGAAAAGGAGAAGTGAGCTTCTTTCCTTTGCAGAATGGGTGACTCTGGGTTACAGCTGGTAACCTGCTAGTTCTTTGCACCTGGAGTGGTGCAAGGAAGGCAAAGAGAGATGGGTTCACTCTCTGGCCTTTTGCATTCACTCCATTCGTAGTATCTAAAATAAAAGGAGTTAAGACCTCACTGGAATTGGAGAAACTGAATACAATATATGAAGCCTGGACTCCTCATGCAGATTCAGGTCTGCCACAAAGCAATCCTGGGAGGATACCAGGGCTGGCATCTGTTCTGAACCCAGTAAGAAGGGGATGCATTAAGGTATTGCTTAAAATACCACTTATTGGAACTAATAGAAGATGGTAAAAGAGATATAGATATATAGATATAGATAACCTTATGTCCCTTCAGATGCTGGGCACCCCAAGTTGGGAAGCATCAGACAGACCTCTGAGATGGATGTAGCACGGTATGGTGGTCATGTAGAGGATATAGCTCGAGGTAGTTATAACCTCACGTAGAGGATATAGCTCGAGGTAGTTATAATCTCACATAGAGGTTATAGCTACCCAAGCCAGAGCAGGGTTGGGCTAATTACCTTGCAGGACACGCAGCCCTCCTGCAGGTAGCTGAGCTCTACGGTAGCGCACTGCACAGCCACCCGGGTGTCTGCATTACGGGAGATTTGGGATAGGAAAGAACAGGGTTTTTTTTTTTCTAGGACTATTTGCAAGCTTTCCTACCAATCTGGCAAAAATACAGCAATTAAATATTAATGCAAAGATACAGAGAGTTCAGTCGTATAATAAAACTAGTATCTGAGTTTAAACTCTAGCAACAGTAAGAAGTTCTTTAATTTGCAGCTCACCTTAAGGAAGAAAGTTATCAAAGAACGCTGTGGGGTTGGAAGGGACCTCTGGAGATCAGCTAGTCCAACCCCCTGCCAGAGCAGGTCCCACAGGAACGTGTCCAGGTGGGGTTTGAATGTCTCCAGAGAAGGAGACTCCACCATCTCTCTGGGCAGCCTCTGCCAGGGCTCTGCCACCCTCACAGGAAACAAGTTCTTCCTTCTCATGTTTAGATGGAACTTCCTATATTCAAGTCTGTGCCCATTTCTTCTTGTCCTGTCCCTGGGCACCACTGAAAGAAGACCTGCCCCATCCTCCTGACACCCACCCTTGAAGTATTTATAGGTGTTGATCAGATCCCCCCTCAGTCTTCTCCGGACTAAAAAGACCCAAGTCCCTCAACCTTTATCACCTGAGCACAAAAGTGCTAACACAGAAAATTTGGAGCTAATTCAGACTTTGTCACTGCCTCTTCCTCTCGCTCGTCCTCTGCATCTTGCTTTCTGCTGCAGTAGCAGCAATTTAGCTGCCTCGGGGTTGTGAAGGTGCAATACTTTTGTCTCTTGATGCATAGTATTAAATGCCACTGGCAAATATCCTTCATCTTTAGGTTTAATGAACAAATTAACTGGCTTCAGTACTTTTTTAGTGCAAGGCCTTCCTCGAGGAGAATTTCTAAGCGCATCCAGGGATGGTTTTGTGACCAGAGAGTGCAGAGAGTCTATATCCTAATTTCACAGAATACATCCTAAATTTGAGGGACCGCAGCAAGAATTTGAAGTTAGGGCTCTGAGAGGGGAGGATAAGGCATTAGCCTTGTGTACCTACTGTTCCATTGTGCTGTCAAACTCAAGGCACTTGGCTTTGATTCTGCCAAAATTTCTTTAATAGTACACATATAAAAATTAGCTTATCAAATGGTTTGCTCTGCAGTCAATACTAGAGACAGTTCAAAGCTTTAATTTCCATTTCAATGGACTCTCAACACTTTACATGGAATTCTAAATAGGCTCCCCACTCCCCTTGTCCAGGATTTTTATCACAAGGAAAAAGTTGTGTGCCTGTTAATTCAGATTTATTAAGTTTATTTCACTGAATTTCACTGAATTTTTAGAGTTGGAAGGGACCATAGAGATCATTAATGTTTTTCTATATTTTTACATATCTATTTTATATACTTAATTTATTTAATAAATTTCTTATTCATATTTATCCTTACACATGTTCACATATACAAATGTTTACGTATGCAAGTGTAAAGTAAAATTGGTAACAATGCTGCGGTCCCTTCTGTTAATCAGCACCACATCAGTGGCAGCTGTTAATTCCTGTTTGGAAGCTAATTAGGTGGGGAAATAATTTTTCAGGAGAGATGCTGAGAATTTAGTTAAGAGGCTCTGCAGAATGATTGTGCTGCACGTAGCCAACCATGCAAAGGAGCTGTAACGATGAGTGAGGGAAGAGACAATGTGAAGGAGAAATTTCCTCCCTGAAGCAGGCTCAGGATGTCATTTGGGTGACCGATGGTTAGCACAGGGGTGACCAGATGGGTATTTGGGCTGAAGTGCCCATTTTGTCCGGTCCTGAGCTTGAGATGTGCATGACATTAGAGTGGGGACTCATGTTTTCAAGTGCTAGTTCTAAAGCCTTTGCCTAGGAGCCAGTCACAAATGCAATTATCATCCCTCTTAGAGTATCTTCTTTCCACAAAGAGCGTATGGAGGCACTGCTTGGTGTGGAAAATATCCATCACAAGGTGGATGCATCTTTGAAAGCTTTTCACAGGTCAAACTCCTCTTTTTTCTAGTGGTGGAAAAAAAAGAAGTCACTATAGCTATAGCTAAAAGCTATAGCTCAGACTTGTTATTTCTCCAGTTAAAAATCCCCAAAACAACAATAAGAAAAGGAGCCCACCCCACATAGCACTAGGGGAAGACGCAGGTACGTTGAGTTTGAAGTTTTTGACCATTCTGGTACTTCTGAGTCCCAAAGTTTACCCTCCAGGGATCTAGCTGAGGTGTGCAGGCACAGACAGAATGATGTTTGGACCATTACTGAGGACACCTGCCCCCACGTCCCCGCAGAGGCAGCTGAGTGCATGGCTCTGTGCTTAACCTGCCATCACTCCAGTAAACCCCCCATCACCCAGAGGGCAATCACAGGGAGAGAATTATGCGGCTGTAAGAAGGGGATGGGTCAACTTTATTTTGAGTTTTTGCTTGTCAATAGGTTTGGGGTTTGCCAGGCTTTTCTACTTGTAAAAGGTTCAGCAAGAACTGAGCCGAACGTTTATTCCCTTAACCTGAAAAGTTGGACACCACAAATGAAGTGTAATGCAGTAGGCGTGCGCTTTATGAGGTTTAGCAAAGCCAAAGAAATACTGTTTTTTAGGGTTGGGTTTTGATTTTTTTTTTTTTTTGAGGTGGATGGTTTTTGCAGCATGCTAATGTTGAAAACACTGGTGTGTCTAGTGATGGATACTGTGCTCCTGCTGCTCTGTCCATCTGCTTACAATTGACTTCCAAATAGCTACTAAATGCAGCATTTTTCTGTTATATGTCTGGGATAGAAGATTACTTTTAAATCTCATTTTAGAGACAATTTTATCTGGAGATAAAAGCCCTGTATTTATAAATGTGCTGGAAATAATACCCTTTCTAGGAAGATCCATTTTAAAACTCTTGGATCTTTATTTCATGCTGAATAAAGAGAAAAATAAATCCCATCTGTAATCCAGAAAATATCTATTTACCCACAAACTCAAAGGGTTCTCAGGTTTCATGAAAGTAACCGTTTCATACTAAATATTTCCTATTAAAAGAATTCAGTATTTCTTTAAATGCAGGTTCAGAATGTTCAGAACACTTATCCCTGTGAATTCATTTTTGCACCCCAAGAAAACAGTTTGACCTGTGAAAATCCTATTAAAAACGTTCTCTAGGTTCCCTCTAAATCCAGTGAATTGCAGACAGGTTTCTCCCAGCTAGTATTGTGATGACAAAGAGGCTATGTTTTGGGGGAACTAAGGTGATAATTTTGCTAATTTCAAACCTATGCAGCTTTACAGAGTAGAAATGCCATACATGCTTTTTAAAAAGATAGATTGTGCTTTCTTCAAGAGCTCTAAGGCTCGCTTGTTTGTACACTTAGAATGAGAAAATTGTCTGCGGTACTTAATCCATCATGAGGATTTGAACAGCACTGAAGTCAATATAGAATGAAATAGCCAATTCCCCTTCAAATGAAGGGATACTTCAGTGCTTTCATGATTTCTGGGACTGGCATTTCTAGAGGCTTATATGAATGTTAGGTTTCCAATGCCCTTTTGTGTTCTGATTTTGAAAATCCCTTCCCATAGCAACCCTGAACCTTCTTCCCTTTAAGCACAGCTTGGCATGTGTGTGTTTAACATCAGCCATGGCTTTCGCTGCCCTATATTTCAAGGTAGGGCATGTAGAATCACAGAATTGTCCAGGTTGGAAGGGACCTTTCAGATCATCTAGTCCAACCATCAACCTCACTCTGATCAAAACCATCACCAAACCATGTCTCTAAGCACTAGGTCAACCCGGCTTTTCAATCCCTCCAGGGATGGGGCCTCAACCACTGCCCTGGGCAGCCCAGTCCAAGGCTTAAGAACCCTTTCCCTGGAAAAATCGTTCCTAATCTCCAATTTGAACCTCCCCTGGAGCAACTTGAGGCCATTTCCTCTTGTCCCATCATCTGGGACTTGGGAGAAGAGACCGACCTTCAAAATGAGACCTCTCCAGAGCATTTGAGGCTAAAATATGGCATTTGAAGCTAGGCTGGAATAACTTTCTAATCATTCTCTGCTAAAATCTGGCACGTAGGCTGAAGCATGGATTCTCAGCCAAAATAGTCTAGAGAATGGTATTTAAACAAGGCTGTGCTCAGAAGAGTTTTAAGCTAAAAGTCAACAGAGACCCACCTCTTGAGTGGGACACATTTGCATCTGAGACTAAGTGAAACGCAGTCTGTTAGACCTCGCTTTCCAAACTACCTCACTGCAGAGTTCAAGGTCTAGCATTCTTCAGAAATTTCCATTAACTACTCAACTTCACCCTTTGGTCCTGAAATATCTTCAAAATTCTTGCTTTAAGTGCTTTGCTGGAACAGTGTCAACGCTAAACGTATATACAGTTTTTAAAATGAAACTATAATTCTGGGCTCGAATGTTCCTTTCCAAAGCAATTTGCAACTCAATTAGGTTCTGGCTAATTCATATTTAAGCTAAGTTTGAAGGAAAAGAAAAACACAACTATTTAAAATTATTGGGGCTTGTCCAATGAAAATACTGTTTTGAGATGCCAATGGGAAATAATGAGAGAAATGGTCATAGAAAGATTTGTTTTAAAAATGTCTAATCATTTTGGGGCTCTTTTTATACTCTTAGATTTGGTGACTTATCAGATATCATATCTATAGTTTGTTATGTATTTCTGTGCACTGACTTATAAGAGATTGTATCTATAGTTTGCTCTATAGATTTCTATAAACTATATTTCTATAAACTCTAAAGGTTTCTGTCACCTTTAATGCAAAGCTACAAGGAGGCAAATATTGCAAATGACCAAGCCATACGGTACCCCTCCAGTTGTGCTCATAGCTGTGCCCTTGAGTTAATTCCTTGTTTCCATACAAAACTATCAGATTTGAAGTACCCCTCTATTCTGCTCTACCCCTCTGCTCTGCTCTGATGAGACCCCACCTGGAGCACTGTGTCCAGCTCTGGAGTCCTCAGCACAGGAAGGACATGGAGCTGTTGGAACAGGTCCAGAGTAGGGCCACAAAGATGCTCAGAGGGCTGGAGCACCTCTGCTGTGAGGACAGGCTGAGAGAGCTGGGGTTGTTCAGCCTGGAGAAGAGAAGGCTCCAGGGAGACCTTATAATGGCCTTCCAGTACCTGAAGGGGCTACAGGAGAGATGGGGAGGGACTCTTGGTCAGGGAGTGGAGCCATAGGATGAGGGGTAATGGTTTTAAACTGAAAGAGGGGAGATTTAGATAAGATACCAGAAAGAAATTCTTTGCTGTGAGGGTGGTGAGAGCCTGGCCCAGGTTGCCCAGAGAAGCTGTGGCTGCCCCATCCCTGGAGGGGTTCAAGGCCAGGCTGGATGGGGCTTGGAGCAACCTGCTCTGGTGGGAGGTGTCCCTGCCCAGGGCAGGGGGTTGGAACTGGATGATCTTTGAGGTCCCTTCCAACTCCAACCATTCTGTGATTCTATGAAGAAGCAGATTTGGAAGATCCGTCCAGTCCTAAAAAAAATATTTTATATATATATGTGTACATAGAGATATACACAAGGACACATACATATATATATGTGAGGAAAAGAGAGGACCAACTGAAAGATAATTAAGCCAAACCCATTTTTACTTTGATAACTGATGCAGATGTAAGTAGGTCAGATACACTGTTATGTGCTTTAAACTGGCATCTACTCTGCATTAGGCTGCTCAGAGCTTGGCTTCAGGATTTCTTTCCCCCCAACAGTCTCTTTTCTCCCCTTTCTCTGTGTCTCCCCTCATCCTCTTACAGTCAAAACCCATAGGCACAACATAGTCAAGCATAGCTCCTGTTCACCTAAATGAGAATTTTCTTGGTGGGGACCACAAGATTTAGCTCTTCTGTAGCTCCTCAGTTACCTCTGACCTTCCTGGAGAATTCTCCACCTGCTTGCTGTTTATAGCAGGGAGGGTTAAACGAAAGCCTACAATTGCTTGACAAGAAAATGAAATTACTAAATTACATGGATTAAATCCGGTAAGTTCTCTGATCTTTTGTTTTCACCTCCTTTTGGCCAAAACAAAAGAAAAAACCCTTTTCATCACCAGTTTTTCAGTAGGAGCACACTTGATTTATGCATTTGTCTTGGCCAGCGTACCCCAGATTACAAGAAACGGAAAATTTACTCCACGTTGTCATCTTTGTGAGGTGGCACGATGCCTTGAGGCCATTTTTCTTGCCTTCTACGATTTTTTTGACACATTCGTAAATCGAAGTGGAAACAAACAGGGTTTTGAGAGTGCAACATGGCTGGGATCTGCAGAGAGAGGCTTTCACAGAGGCAGTTGCTTAAGAAAAATAAAAAAAAAAAGCATTAGGGACTAATACCAGCAAAAGCAGAGAAGGGGAAAGGTTGCATCTGTTTGCGTGGGAAGATTCTGGCAGACCATGTGTTTTTCTCTGTGCTCCCTGCTGTCCTCAGGGGCCTTTCTGGCTGTTGCTTCGGAGCCATCCCCAAAATTTGCAGTGAGGTTTTTTAGGGCCTCAGATGCTCGCAGTTCATCCTGCTGGAGAGGGCAAGGGAGCTTGGAGTGAATTTGATACTCTCCCTCTGCCGTATATACCGGGGACAATACATTGTCATCTCTCCACCTGCCCAAGGAAGTCCACCTTTGGACAGGACGGATGGTCTTTCAAAATTAAAAGGTCCCAGGAGATGTGATATCTCTTCTACTTTTCCTTCCTCCATCCGTTCATATGCCTATTTTACAAGAGTCAACTTCTAAAGTTTATGCATAAATTATTACCGCTACAGCTCTAATTACAATTGCTCTTGTCCCAGCGATGCTCCGGTTAAAAAGCGCTTGAGTTTGCTGAAAAGATATTTTTTTTTTTTTTTTTTGTCTGTGAGGGTGAAATCATGCTGATTAAAAAATTTCTCTTTCAGAAATCATTCGCTAATCTCCCAATGGCTTTCACGGATGAACTTGATTGGCCCCAGTTCTCAGAGATCACTGGGTTTCTGAACTCCACCATCGGGTAAGGCAACAGGCGGGGTGGCCAAGTCCTAGCAAGTCACAAGGTTCCTCAAAGCACAGCAAGAAAAAAAACAAATAAACAGCATTTGCAAGGAAAGATAAAAATGTCAGCTCTGCTACTCTTGTTAAAATCAAGACTGATGCTGGATATAGGAATTTTTTAAAAATCTTTTAAATATATAGACAACGCACAATACTGTAGCCCAGTCTCCCTGAAATTCACGGTAGGTTTTAGAGCTGGTCAAATTGTAATTTAAAAGGACAAAAAAAAACCCAAAGAAATGAAATAAAAAACAAACTCACTTTTTTTTTTTCAAAATTCTGGGGCAGGGAGAAGGGGAATATTGCTCAAACTAACAAAAATCAGCACTTCCCTTTTCTTATTTTTTTTTTAATTTTTTTTCCTCTCTCCCTCTTCCTCCTGTTTCCTTTTTGCTGCTGAAACAATGGAATAAATGGTAACCCCAGGGTTATTTCACAATGTGCCTTTTTTTTGGGACAACCTTTCTTCCCTCCTCTTTTTTTTTCACATTCAGAGGGAAGTAGCAAAAGAAGAATTTGGAAATTCTCGTGACCTGATTTTCTGTGTTAGGTTTGCTCATTGGGAGGGATGCAGGGATAGATGGAAAAAAGAACTCTCTGCCAGAAGGGGAGGAAAATAAAAGTCCAAACACACACACAAAAAAAAACCACCTTGGAATGCCTGCAGTTTGAACTGTGAAGTTAAAAAGAAGTAAATCACAATTTTGTTAATTATCTTTCTGGCCAGCATTAAGAGGCCCTTGGCTCCTGCCAGAACTGAAAGATACAGTCATCAGCAGTGCCTGGTCTGGCCTGAGTTTCAGATAATTTGTATTTATATGTCTAAGGTAGGTCATGAATCCAGTGAAATGCCAAATTAAGCATGAGCAATGCCTAAAGAGGCTCTCTACCCACAGAATTAAAAAGTTGGAAGAATATATTCCTTTCCAGGAAGAATATCTGTTGCCCCATACACTTGGACTTTTTGCTTTCTTTTTCCTCCCTGTGCGAAAACCAGGCTCCCAGCCTCAGCTACCTTCACACAGTGTGTGTTTAAGGAGGTACAACTGCTTGACAAGTCAACAGAGAAGATCTTTGCAGCCTCCTCTTTCAGAGTCAGCAGCAAAACCGACTGTTAAAAATCTATTACAGTGTCCAGCTACTCAGTGCACAGTATTTAACTGAGCTCCCAAGAATTTCAAGTTCACAAGTGATCAAAGCTTAGTATTGACCTTGAAGTTGTCAGTGAAAGGCCTTGGTTCTGGTTTTTAATCTCTTCCACATCTAAAAGGAATAAAAAAGAAGGACTTTGGGACTTCAAAGCATTTTTTAAGAGAAATAGCTCCAAATCTCCCATCACAATGACTAAGAGTGGTGGAGACGGGTAGGCAACGTGCATTTACTCCGAGCCTGCAGAAATAGAGACACAAACTGATGCAGTCCATGCCCATCTTTCCCTTGCCCTGACGGCTGAGCAGGGACACCGCTGATTAATTAATATCCTCTAACCATGAAGGTCTATTTGCCATTTCTGGTCCTCCCACCTGTTACGCTGAAAACCAAAGAGCCCGGGTGTTTCTTGTGTAGCTCATTGCATGGTGCCTGGTTGATGGTATCACGTGGATAGTTACTTTTTATTGCTGGTTTCAAAATTAATCCTTGTCTTCTTTTTCTCTGCATTCACCCACGTTTGCTGTTCTTAAACCATGGTATTTAAGTCATCTGATTCTTTCGGTGTCGAAGTTCAAACACAAAATCAACAGCCCCTACAAAGAAGACCATGTACTTGTGGCTGGGAGCGTGGTCTTCTCATCAGCTTCCCTCTGGGCTGTTATCCTTTTCATTTGCATTTTCTTTTTTCTCAATACTGCAAAACGAGGGAGAGAACTAATCGCAATCAGGCATAACTTGTTTTCAGATCAATCTATCCAAGATGTATGGCATTGGGAAATGAACACCCTGCCAATATTTCTTCTCTTTTATTTACTGTTCCACCACAACAAATTGAAGAGTCAATTAGTGAGCAATCAACAGGATTGTTTTGATAAATGATGTTTAACAAAAAGGTTTTTAAACACCTTATGTGAAAAGCTGGGATAAAAGCATCCTGGATGCAGCAATTTCAAAGAAAGTCTCCCTCAATTTATAGTTTCTGAGAGAATATCTTGGCTTCTGTTTTAGGCCACCCTGTTCAAGGTGAAAAAGATTTATGACCACAAAAAAGAGAGACGGTGAAATAAAAGTATATACGTAACTGAGGCACAGAGTTGTTCAGAGGCAAGAACATACTTCATTTTTAATATCAGCTGTGCTTTCATTGGTATCATGTGAGTTTAGAGCTTGCATTTTCTCAATTTGTTTCAGAGGCTGGACAGATTCTCTGTATCTACGTTTACGCCAGAGAAATCGCTGTAATCACAGAGACTTACAGAACATTTCCCAGAATGGTATGTTAAGCTTTTTTCACTTTTTTTTTTTTTTTGACTCTTACTAGTCTGATACTTGTTGCTGTTTTAATAAAAATATTTCAGGAGAAAAAAGAAAAGAGAAGCCCTTTCCTAAATGCATGAATGGAAAAATAGAGAGCAGCACTTATTTATCTTGGTGTCTTCTCTTCTGGCTCTGAGTAGGGATCTGTGTGGCTTGATCACTTTTATCCATGCACTGACTAAGAATCATGGAATCATGGAATTGTTAGAGTTGGAAGGGACCTTTAGAGATCATCCGGTCCAACTCCCCTGCCAAAGCAGGGCTGCCCAGAGCACATCACTCAGGAGCATCCAGGTGGGGCTTGAAGATCTCCAGAGAAGGGGACTCCACACCCTCCCTGGGCAGCCTCTGCCAGGGCTCTGACACCCTCACTGGGAAGAAGTTTTTTCTCATATTTAAATGGAACCTCTTATGTTCCAGCTTGAGCCCGTTGCCCCTTGTCCTATCGCTGGAAACCACTGAAAAGAGTCCGGCTCCAACATCCTTCAACTCACCCTTTAGATACTTATAAACATAAACAAGGGCTCCCCTCAGCCTTCTCTTCTCCAGGCTAAAGAGTCCCAGCTCCTTGAGCCTCTCCTCGTAAGGGAGATGCTCCAATCCCTCCATCATCTTTGTTGCCCTACACTGGACTCTCTCCAGCAGTTCCCTGTCCCTCTTGAACTGGGGAGCCCAGCACTGGAGGCAGGATTCCAGTTGTGGCCTCCCCAGTGCAGAGCAGAGGGGGAGAATGACCTCCCTCCACCTCCTGGCCACACTCTTCCCTACGCAGCCCAGGATCCCATTTGCCCCCCTGTAATTTTATGGGGTTTTTTTTTTGGCCGTGGCCAAAAGTGGGGATTTAGAAGGATGTAATGAGTAGTGATGGAGTTAAAAGGTCCCCCCTCCATCTCCTCTGGAGGCTGTGGCATGGTCCCCACTTGCTTGCAGACCCCAGCTCTGCACTCCCATGAGGGATGCCAAGAGGGCCCTACGCTGCACCCCACGGAAGCACAGGGGCCTCATGGAGTGGGCACAAGCCCAAGTCAATCTCATAGCAAGGGTGTCCGTGACATCCGGTGACATCCTTTGCAGCTGGAGACCAGCAAATAGAAGTCCTCTTGCAAAACTGGGGAGATCAATGGTGCAGGCATCTCAGCATGCTCTTAGAACTCTTAAGAGAGGAATCAAGGACACATACAGGTAAACCAAAATTGGGACAACACTTAACGCTGTTAAGTGTTAATTAATTAAATAATTTTGTGGGGCTGGCTTAATATCTTCTTTCTATGAAATAACATCCTGTGTTGCCAAGGGTATATGCAGGAGATGTAATCTAACTAGAATTAAGGACAGTGTCTTGTAAGGTGTCTCTACAGGAGATGTTTGTACAATTGAATAAGATGGGCTAATGATAAGGCCCTTGTCTGTAAACTAGAGGCTCCTCAGCTGGAGGTGGTGGTCGGAGAGAGGCATCGGGGTGTACAGGGGAATTTCAAGGAAATTGGGACTAGATGATCTCCAGAGGTCCCTTCCAACTCTGACAATTCTGTGATTCCCTGAAGGAACATCCAGGAGTGCAGGATAAAGCTGTAAAGAGACTGAGGAGGTTGCAAGATGCATCACACTCAGCATTTGCTCTAGGGTCAGGGAGGCAGTCCTACCTCATATAAGCCACTGAGTCCTACCACATATAAGCCAAATTCCTCAGAATTTGGTCCCTTTTGCCTAGGGAGGACCCAGTTTGGTGAGAATAGATACAGAGAAGAGCTTTGGGGAAGATTAGGGCAGTGAAGACCTCTGAAGGGATGTTAAGACACCTTGGCAACTGAGCAAAGCAAAAATTAAGAAGGATTATGGTTTTTAATCCTTCTGAGGCGTAAACACCACAGAGTGGGGAGAATGGTTTAAACTGAAGGATAGTTCTGCTACAAGAACATGGGTTTTCATTAATCCTACTTTTGTTTGGAGGGGAAATTAAAAAAAAAAAAAAACAGGTTACTACCAAGGAGTGAAAACCTAGAATAGCCCTGAAAACAGAGGAGTGGGGGCAAAAAAAGAAACCCTGAGTTGTTTCAAGACAGAGTTTGATTATATTTGTCAAAGGGGTTGTGTGAAGGGAGGACACTAATCTCCCTTAGAAATTGAGGTTTATGATGTTAGCTTTTGTGTGTTGGATTAGGTGATGTCCCCAACAGCAGGTTTAAAAGATGCTTGATTATTCTCTGATTATCACATTGTGTTTCTATTGTATTTAATTAATTTTCCTGCTTCAGGAATCTGGCTGCACAAGCTGGGGAAAATTTATTCTCCTCGGGTAGATAATTTGGCTTTATGTGATGCCTGCTCCCTCTCCAACAAATGAGTCACGCCGGCTGCAAGCGAGGAGCGCTGCTGCCCCTAGTGCCACTTAGAAATGTGTTAAATGCTTGGGATTTCCTGCAAGATTTAGGATCAGGAAGGGTCTGCCCCAGCCCCTCACCTCCGACAGACAGAGATCTTCCCATGCAGAAGAGGTGGCACAGAAAGGTAGCGTGATGCAAGGATCACTTCCAGGCTCAGGTGGCCATTTTCACCTAAAAAAATTGCCTTCTGGTGCCAGCAACAATGCCACTGGTAATGCCTCATACACCTTCCTCCTTCCTATTGCACGTGTGGTGCTCCTGAGGGCACTAGGGTTGGTGACTTCCATCATTGCAGTCCCCTAAATGTGCTTTCTGGTGAGAGAATAAAACAAAGGCCAAAGGAGATGGTCAATGGATGGTTCTTCTCATTTATATCCAGTTCATCTCAGTACCTTATACCCTATTACCTTGCTCTGCTCTCTTTACGTTAATGGAGGCTTACTTTCTGCTCTTCCTTTTTCCCAATTCCCTCACAGACTTTTTTATTTTAAAAAAATCTCTCTGTCTTCATCATTCCTTTTTCTCTCCCCTTCATGTATCTCCTTTCCGCTTAGACTACAGACACCTGCAGGATATAAAAGGAGGTGAGACTGTGTCAGGGCAAAAGACTCTGAGGAAAACTGAGAGGGGAATTTAGAAAAAAGGAAAAATTACAAGTGGTAGAAAAATCCCAGGGTATCTTCCCTCAGTGTCTTCTCTTAATCATCGCGCTGACACCACGTTGTAAAGGTTGGCTTTTATTGCCTCGTTTGGTGTAATACTTTCCCCAAATGGGAGGATTTAAATGGCCTCTCTCCGTCTCCATAAAGCAAAAAGCTGGCCACCAACCTGGCCTAGTCCCACCTGAGACAGCTGCTTCTTGTGAAGATGATGCTTGACAGCCCCACACATATAGAATGAGAGGAAGAGAAGCTAAAGATGTGGATCTGATAGGGGAGGTGTGCGGCCGAGAGCCATGGCCCAGGGATGGCAGGCCAAGCTGCAGACCGAGAGCAATGGTAGTGGCATTCTTGCTTTCCCTTTCTTCAAAATTCCTGTTATACCCTGGAGGTGGTGGGCTCTTTCCTCCTCTGCGGTTGGCTTCGGGGCAGGTTATGCAGTCAGGTCCTGGGAGAGAACCTTCCAGCTCCCCGTGTGTGTTATCCATGGCCCGTGAATATATTCATAGAATCATAGAATCATAGAATGGTTAGAGTTGGAAGGGACCTCAAAGATCATCCAGTTCCAACCCCCCTGCCCTGGGCAGGGACACCTCCCACCAGAGCAGGTTGCTCCAAGCCCCATCCAGCCTGGCCTTGAACCCCTCCAGGGATGGGGCAGCCACAGCTTCTCTGGGCAACCTCTTCCAGTGTCTCACCACCCTCATAGTAAAAAATTTCTTCCTGAGATCTAATCTGAATCTTTTTTCTTCCAATTTAAAACTGTTTCCCCTTGTCCTATCACTACACTTCCTGGCAAAGAGTCCTTCTCCAGCTCTTCTACAGGCACCCTTCAGGTGCTATAGCGGCTGGAAGGCCGCTATAAGGTCTCCCTGGAGCCTTCTCTTCTCCAGGCTGAACAACCCCAGCTCTCTCAGCCTGTCCTCACAGCAGAGGTGCTCCAGCCCTCTGATCATCTTTGTGGCCCTCTGCTGGACCTGTTCCAGCCGGTCCATGTCCTTCCTGTGTTGAGGACTCCAAAGCTGGACACAGTATTCCAGATATTCACATCACATTCACAGATATTCATATTGGAACTGCTGACGTTTATTTGGGGTGATCATCTTTGCTCACTTTGGGCACCACACAAGAGGCTTGGTATATCACAGAATCACAGAATGCTATGGGGTTGGAAGGGACCTCTGGAGATCATCTAGTCCAACCCCCCCAAAACCCAGATATAGGTTAATAATTTGTAACAAATCTGTTCTCTGCCACTACAACCCAGATATAGGTTAAAAATTTGTAACAAATCTGTTCTCTGCCACTACTACTGCCTTCAGCTTGTGGTTGCTCAACATGCAGCTCCCAGTCCTAATCAATGTTTTCCATCAAAATGGCTTGCTGAGCAGTTTTCAACAGCCAGTTATTATTGTTTCATTGTTTTCAGTAGGGTTTTGGTGTCTTACCCTCCAGCAGCTTCACACAGGTTTGTAGGTCATGTGTTGTTTGTGATTGTTGACTGGCTGAGTGAGATCTTCAGCTGTGAAGGCTGGGCATGAATGCTCAGGTGTGGAGTCAGAAAGTTCTTTTAAATATTCTTCAGCGCTTCTAAGAGATCCTTTTGTTTTGATAAAAGCATCCTGACAGTAAAATCAGTTGCTAAAATATTCCAAAAAATCATTAGATAAACACAGGGAAAGTGAATACCCTAATTACAGAACAATCTTGTGATTGTCATCCATGTTCTGCATGAGATACTTGGATAATGTCTGCTATTTCAAAACACAGGTATTGTATATTCCTTTGCCATTTGTAGTCTGATCTGTCTCTTCGGGATTCTTGCTTCTGACCAGAAAACTTAGGCCTTATTAACAGCCACTGTGGCTCACTGGGCCATCAAGAACCAGATATCTCACATTGGCTTCAAAGCCAGTTAAGAAATACTAATTATTTTTTTTTCTTCGTCTGTCTTAGAAATTCTAGTCCACCTGGAGTTCATTTGGGGAAAACCAGAGACATTTTTCTTTGCACTGTTACATTTCCAATTGTATTTTACAGCATACTTTTTTCAGCCTGGAGAAAAGGAGGCTGAGGGGAGACCTTCTGGCTCTCTCCAACTCCCTGAAAGGAGGGTGTAGCCAGGGGGGGCCGGTCTCTTCTCCCAAGGAACAGGCCATGGGACAAGAGGAAATGGCCTCAAGTTGCCCCAGGGGAGGTTCAGATTGGAGATTAGGGAAGGTGTTTCCCCAGAAAGGGTTAATACCAGTCTGGGCCTGGGCTGCCCAGGGCAGTGGTTGAGGCCCCATCCCTGGAGGGATTGAAAAGCCGGGTTGACCTAGTGCTTAGAGACATGGTTTGGTGATGGTTTTGATCAGAGTGAGGTTGATGGTTGGACTAGATGATCTGAAATGTCCCTTCCAACCTGGACAATTCTATCATTCTGTAAGGGAGCAAAAGATTAGAAGTCAAGAAATTATTCTTGTCCACCCTGCTCTTCTGGTGCTCTCTGGACCCAGGCTCTTTCAGTGCCCGTTAGTGCTGCCCCTTGTCAGCCACGTGAGGTCTAAGAGCAAGAAAATCAAGATGTGCATCTCAGGTATTCCAAGGTTTATGAACTTTGGGGGTTGCTCACAAGTGGAAGCAGACCCAATACTGACGCCTCAACCAAAACTAACCCCCCCCTTACTGGTCTGAAAATATTTGGAAAGCAACAGAGATGGGGGAGGAGAGATCCAGGAACAGCTGCCAGGACATTTAACAGTGTAAGGGTAACAGTTCTGCCTCATCTCCTTTTCTCTCTCAGATGTTTTGATCACAGATTGCATCCTGTATCGTAAAAAATTCCTTGAAGACTCAATTTATCCGTGAAAACAGTTCTCTAAAAACCCCCTTCATTTTCTTGATGTTTTTACTTGATTTCTAACTGTGCTAATGCTTTCCACAGAGCTGCTTATAACTACCTACACTTGTGGAGGTAATAAATACTCAAGAACAGCTTCTTGCTTTTTTTTGTAAATACATTTTGAATTTCTAGCCATCCCAGTAGTTTATTTGTGCTGGAACTGCAGCCCTGGTCCGGGGAGCTGTGCAGCAGAATGGCTTAACAGAGGGGTGCTGAGCTCTAGCTGAAAAAAGGGCTATTAAACAGAAAAAAATATAAATAAATCAACTGGCAGTAGTTTTCCAAGCTATATTTTCTAAGGATTTTGTGGGGCTCTTACTCTGCTGAAAAGAGCTTCTCGACATAAGGGCTGGATTTTGAATCCACTCGTGACCATCAGGAGGGAAGCAGCAAACAGATATATTCATTTTTGGCTTGGAAAAAAACCACTGGATTATTTAAAACATAAAGGGTTCCTTGATATATGCAGTTGGCATCACTCTGAGTGATAATAAAAAAGGCATCACTATTAAAATGCAAAGTGTACTATTGCTACCCTTAGGGGTTTATCTCTCAGATCTGTCCTCTGTACCAATCCAGCAAGGATTTAATAATGTTCTGTCCACAAATTTTACCCCCACGAGCTGCAGGGAGGACAGGGTTTGCTCCTTAAAGCAAGTTGCAGAGGCACAATGCAGAAAAGAGGAGAAGAGAGAATTGCCTAAAAGCTTTCCTAGTAGGGAATGCTTTTCTCATTCAAGACATAAATGAAAGATTAGAGAGTTCAGAGATACTCAGGCTTAGCTGGCTCTATTCCTGCAGGAGGAAAGATTTGCATCTAACCATTTGGGTGAGTTGCCATTGAAATGCAGAGCTGCTCAGGGGGGCTGCATCTGGCCTAATAGTATTTTTTGTAAGTCTGCCACTCGTGGGGAGAGCAATGCAGACACCCAAACCTTGGTGACTAGTACTATTTAAGATGTTTTACTGTTTTCTATGGGTATCTTTCCCACCTCCAGCTGCCTCTCCAGAAGTGCACAATCACTCAGGCATCCTCTGTTGCATCTGCCAGCCCCCTTGCAGGTGCCTTGGATACTCTGGGATGTCAAAAATGGCACTTGGTGCCTATGTTTAGGACCTGATTCAGTCCCAGTGTGGTGTAGCTGTGAGACGCTTACTCTCTCAGAAGAGTGAGAACAGTTCCCTTTGCAATTTATAGGGAAAGTTAAAAGTAGACTGACTGTTGACAAGTCAGGTTGGCTGGTTTACAAGAGACTACTATGTTCAACAGATGGAAAGAAGCTGCCAGATCTGGATAAAAAAGCAGATCCAAACAACCCAGCACGTAAAAGTATTTGATTTTCTACAGTCTGAAGTGTGGAATTCAGGCAAGAGGCAGCAGGTCCCTGGATTTAGCTCTACTTTTTAATGCTGGCACCCAAAAAGGTTATAGAGATGAGTTACTGTTCCATTCTTTATTTTTAATGCTCCTGCATTCTTTGAAATATGCAATGAAGTTGGGTTTTGCACTTCATTTTGTCTGTCACTCTAACGATGTTGTACTGTTTCTTTTATTCCTGCTGCATGTGATCAGGTGGTTCTTCAGGAAACCTCCTCTCTTTAATAAAAAGGTGAGTCTTTAATAGGATTCGAATGCTGATAGTGTACCAGAAGTGTTGCTGGAGTCCTACTTCTTCAAAAGAGACAAATAAAACACTGTCAGGAGTGTAGCATCCACCAGTGTCATAAAAAGCACAGCTTCCCTTGGCCACTGTGCTCTGAAGTGCTGGCTGTTTCTTCTCTGGTATAAACATCTATCAACAGAAGAAAAATTGTTTTGAAGTGTGGCTGTCACCAGCTCCAGGGCTTTGACCTTGGCCCAGTTAAGCCAAAGGAGCATTTCCAGTGATTTTAGGGAAAAGACTAAGCCTTTCTCTAAATCTGTGTCCCTCCATTACTCCTGATTTTAGCAATGTAGATAGACATGGGAGATCCGCGGTGTTATCTCCATGTGGATGTGATTGAGTAACTCCTGGACAGTGAGAGGTAGCAACTCTCCTTTTCAGATGAATGTGGGTGGGCTGTGGGGCAATTGGGTTTGATTTAGTTTGCTTGATGCTGATATAGTTCACATCCTGAGGGATTTATTGTCCTTTCCTCCAGAAAAAGTAGCAATGAATCCTTGCCCTCTAGCACTGAACTTCAAACCACATCCTGATTTGATCATGAGCCCAATCCCTACCCATAAACTTGGTTGTCAGCCGTAGTCTTCTTCTCCCATCTCTGATTAAAAACTTCCCATCTTGATTTATGTCTTTGCCCTGAAATGAAACTACCTGATTTGGCTTCTGAATAATACAAAGGAAACAGAAAGCCAGCAGGAAAAACAGTGAAAAAGACAAGTCCAAGGGGGGGACAAAAGGGAGAAGTTAAAAAAAACTCCGTTTAAGAAATTTTACTAAAATAAAAAACTATAGAGATACCCCTTCCCCCCCCCAAAAAAAAAAATCCAACCACCAACTCTCCCAATCATAGAAGCAGAGTCATTTGACCATTGGCCCGATCTAAACGAGCTAATTCCAAACGCGATCTCACCCAAGCGCGGTGGGTGATTCAGACACTGAGAACGTATCTCCCCGTTAATTTAGCTGCTGATTTATCTTTTAGCTTGGCCAGAAACCAGCTGTTGGACTATCCAGCCATAGTCATCTACGCTACAATCGGGAATGATGTCTGCAATGGGTAAGGTGTAAACTTCTTCATTTTAACTTCTTTAGACCACTGCTGGCTGCTTGGACCTTTATGTCTTGTTGCTTTGAGCTTCCCCATGATGGCATTTTTCTTTTCTATTGCTCTGTGCTTCATTATTCTTTTTCTTCTGAAAATACTGATATTTTCAAATACAGTCGTACCTGTATTTGGACTAGTTATTTATCGTAGCTAGTCCTTATTCAGAGCTTGTCTTTCTTTCTTTTAATTACGAGCTGGTGATGAAGTGACCAATGGCATGTCTGAAGTAGAATATTTCTAACGTAGCAGGTGAAATGAGGTATAACAACAACGGAGGAGAAAAAAAAGAGTTTAAAAACATGTATATCCGTCTTACTCAGTGTGTCACCTCCTGTCAGGAGGGGAAACATGACTGGTTTACCTTTTTGGAAGAATGACAACCTAGTCCCCTGTTGAGGTTTATTTTCACCCTGCCTCTGCTGCACACTGCCTGCAGTCTTCGCTGTGCTCTCCTGATGAGGAGTTTTGTCTTTCTGGCTTTACTCGCGTCATAAGCCCAGCAGGAGAATGAACTGAAGCTTTCAAAACTAATAGTCCTGGCATTAGCCATTAGCAATGCTTGCAGGGACGCCAAGAGGTCACGAGTTGGATGTTTCCCCTCCTCCTGGTAGTGGGAAGGCAGAAAATACCTTGCACGTACACGTCACGGGTTTGGGTTTGCCTGTGATCCAAGTGCTGTTGTTGGAGTAACATTATTTTCACCATGATGACTCTTCAGATTTTCTTTTAAGTGGAGGGAAGAAATAAATTTGACTTATGCTGAGACTTTCAAAGAAGTCATTTTAACAAATGACACAGGTTCAGCTAAGTCCCCTTCTAAAGTTTTTAGAAGTCTCGTCTGCAGGTTGTATAAAGAAGCAGGAGCTATTTTGCCGGCTGTCAGACTTTGCCATTAAAACATCTTAGTTTGGGGATCCTAACCCCTGCCTTAACAGCGAGTGTTTGAGTTGAAGCTTTGCACATCAGGGGTTGTGCTGTGGACAGGGAAAGCCAAAGGCCAAGCTTTCCCTGACACAGCAGCGCCTGGAAGCCCTCAACCAGGGCAGAAGTGGGACCACAGGAGACCAAGACCTTGTAGGTCCTTCCCTGGCAGCACACAGAAATAGCCTCCCATGAAACCTTCACCCTTGGCATCTCCCTCTGGTGCTTGTACTCTCTCTGCACCCCTGCCCAGAACTGCCAGCTCTGCTCTCAGCACCACCCTCCTGCTACGGGAAGGACGCACGAATCCTCAAAGGGAACCCCACCACTCTTCAACTGAGTGGGAAAAGCAGTGACAGACCTCCTGCTACGTGGTGACAAGACTGTCCTGGGAATCTGTTTCTTGAGAATCACAGAGTGATAGGGGCTGGAAGGGACCTCTGGAGATCATCTCCTCCAACCCCCTGCCAAAGCAGGTCCAGCCAGAGCAGGTTGCACAGGAACGTGTCCAGGTGGGGTTTGAATGTCTCCAGAGAAAGAGACTCCACCACCTCCCTGGGCAGCCTCTTCCAGGGCTCTGCCACCCTCAAAAGGAAGAAGTTCCTTCTCATGTTTAGATAGAACTTCTCACATTCAAGTTTGTTCCCATTTCCTCTTGTCCTGTCCCTGGGCACCACTGAAAAAAGACTGGCCCCATCCTCCTGACACCCACCCTTGAAGTATTTATAGGTGTTGATCAGATCCCCCCTCAGCCTTCTCTTCTCCAGACTCAAAAGACCCAAGTCCCTCAGACTTTCCTTAGCAGAGAGATGCTCCAGGCCCCTCATCATCTTTGTAGCATCTGCTGTCCCCTCTCCAGCAGTTTATGGAGGTATCATTGCAACCACCCCCAGGATGATGAGCCCCTCCCAAATAGTGCCTTCTCTGAAGTCTGTGGCTCCTGCTGCTGAGACTTTCGGGGTGACTTCTCCCAGGCTTGGCACAGGCTCTGTTGTGTGCATATTTCAATTCTGCTCTTCCACTGGCTTTGCTAAAAGCACCTCTTTTTCCTTTGTTTTATTTCTCATTCTGCACGTTATTCCTTTCACTTCCCCTGTCTCTAGCACCGCTTTCTATTCTTGCCTGAAGTAAAAAGAAATTGTCTACAAATTTAAACCATTTTGGCCTTGCCTCAGCCATTCCTGTGTTCCAAAACAGTATTTATTACTTGAAACTCGGCTGTCTTTTTATCCCGGCATCGATTACCTCGCAGAGATGCTTCTGTCTGCTCAAATTCTCTCTGCTGTCTGTTTTCTTCTAAAACATTTGCAGCATCAAAGGAGGCTATCGGGCTGTAGTGATCCCCGTGACTCCAGCAAGGAAAGATGCTGCAGCTTTTCCATCGAGTGGGATGTACAGGCAAGAGAAGGGTTTTTTCAGTGTCCGGTCACTGGGTGTAGCTGCCCTGGCTCTGATGCACCCATAGATGTTACGGAGGATGTGGAGCATCTAATGGGCTTGACTTCAAACCCAGGGCTTGACAAATGAAGACCTCTTCAAGGACAGCTTTAAACTGCAGTAACAGAGCCTTTCTGGCCTTATCTTGTGCTTCACCTTCAAAAGAGAGCAATGTGCTGAGCACACCGGAGACACAGCTCTTAGCCAAAACCTTGTTAAAATGCCAGTATTTCACCCCACGCGAAGAGCAGGGCAATGAGTAATAGGGATGTTTGTAGAGGAGAAGGATAATGGAATTGGCAGCTTCTGTTACACGTTCCCAGTAGTCTCCACACTGCGGTGTCCAAACAGGGGAGTTAGAAAAATAAAGACAGATGGCAATAGTATCTCTCAGCCCACTGAGGTGTAAATGTGGGACACAATGTGGGACACACAGACCTGGAACAAAAAGGAAAAAAAAAAAAACCAGACAAGAAAATAATGAGCACCGACAGTCTCAAATGCTGTACAATTAATTGCACGTATTAGTTGCGTTTGGGGTAAGACGACGTTTCTCCAGCCTCTCTTTCCCAGCTTTGCAGTTATGGCATCTGCAACAAACAGAAAGGTGATGGCAGCAAAGCTGGGATGGGAACTTGTGTAAAGCACGAGCAGCAGCAGGAACACAGCACTCCCTTACGGTCCAGCTACCATCACCAAAGTGCTGCTGCACCTCTTCGTCCCTAAAAGCAGTACGTGAGCATGCAACACCCTGCAACATGCACAGCCCAAACCTTGGCCATGGAACAGCGTGTGGCTGGAGAACAGATGTATGTCTGAAACGTTGGGCTGGGGGAATATTTATTTGGGTTAGTGTCATGGGGAGGGGTGAAGCATGACGTGGCAGGCCAGAGCCACCAGCCCCCTGCAGAAGAATGATGGTGAGCTGTGTTTGAACTGTGCCAGACCCTGCTATAAGGGACTGGAGGAGGTCTCTGTGGCAGAGGAGATTTGGGAAAGCTAAGCACAGTGTGCATGATGCTTAGTTTGGAGAAGAGGAAGGTGATGGGGGACCTCATTGCCCTCTGCAACTCCCTGAAAGGAGGGTGTAGAGAGGTGGGGGTTGGCCTCTTCTCCCAAGGGAATAACAACAGGAGCAGAGGAAATGGTCTGAAGTTGGGGCAGGGGAGGTTTAGATGAGATCTTGGGAAGAATGACTTTCCTGAGAGGGTGGTCAGGCCCTGGAAAAGCCTGCCCAGGGAGGTGGTGGAGTCACCATCCCTGGAGGGATTTAAGAACCGTGTAGATGTGGCCCTTCAGGGCATGCTCTAGTGCCCGAGATTGTTGGGTTGTGTCTGTGTGTGGGTGGCTGTGGTGTTGGGGGGGGGGGTAGGGTTTGTTTGTTTTGCTTGGTTGGTTGGTTGGTTTTTTTGTGGTTGGACTCGATGATCTCAAAGGTCCCTTCCAACCATGAATATTCTGTGCTTCTGCCTGGTCCCTCTGTGTTGAGTGTGCAGTGCTATAGTACCCGTGGTGTTAGGACCTTCAGGATCTGTGTGCACATCCAAGGATATTACTGTGTGTTTGTGTATTGCAGGGGGGCAGGGAGTGCTCCCTAAAATACCTAGATCTGATGCAGCAAGAGCCCTAACATTAACATCCACCTGTTATGGTCTGGGGCCAACATCAACTTCCAGACATCCCAGATGGGCAGGGGCTCTCACTGGCTGCTGCCTCCCAAGAGGACCTTGTGAGGGTACCCCAACATCCCCAGGGCTCACCCAGACACCTTTAAGTCCTTCTGGTAGAGCCCAAAACGAATGTGCCTACAAGATGGCTCGCTTCTAGGTTGGTTTTAATTTCACAGCCTGGCACGGAAAGGAAATGTGAAGAAATGCACTGAAATAGCTGCATGACTTCAGCAGAGGATGACAAGAGACAGTGGAGTTATGAATGTCCTATTAATTCCAGCTCATACTGATGTGTTTACTTGCGGTGGAGGCCTTACATCAGAGCAGTATTTTGAAATCAAGTGCTGCAACCCCTGTAGGCGAAATGAAGTAATTTAAGAGCAAAACCACAGCCTTATCTCAAAGTACCTTGCTTGGGTGGCTGTCGCAAGGATAAGCCTGAATCTTAATGTTATTTTTCAGTTCTCCCTAAGCAGAAAGCCTCAAATGCTTGAGCAGCACATACTGTGTTAAGATAAATTTCTGGGCCAGGGGAACTTGTCTAATTATTATTTTGTGTGCAAAACGCAGCCCGCTGAAGAATTCCAAATCCTCGCTAGGGAACATGGTTCTCACATGTGGGACTCAGCACCGACCTCCCCCTCTCCCCCAAGCAGAAACATTTCTAATGCCTCAAAACACAACAACACCACTTTTGGAAGCTCCTGCTTCTATGGTGTTCACCGACAGGAATCCTGTCTGATGCCCCAGCAGCTCACTCGGCGCTAGAAGGCATCAAGTTCACCCTTCTCTTACGCTGCTTCACCGACAGGAATCCTGTCTGATGCCCCAGCAGCTCACTCGGCGCTAGAAGGCATCAAGTTCACCCTTCTCTTACCCCTGGGAAGCCACTAAAGAGATTGAAGGACTTTCCCAGGGAAAGGACTTGGATGTAGTCTCCTGGCTGCCAAGCTGATTGCTTCCCTACAAGCCCACAGGGAGAAAATGTGAAAACCCCCTAAACCAGTAAGGATGGACGTTAGTGCAACCTTCTGCTCTACTTGGAAGGACATCCCCTGTCGTTCTTCTTGAACGACAGGATGAGGTCCTCAGCGGGTGTTGAGGCTTTCTCTCTGAAAGCCTTGGTCCAGCTGAGCTGCACCACCAAGGCAGGACAAAAACTGTCACGAGAAACCTCCTTCCCAGGGTGCAGAGTTCATGCTGTGCTTGACCACACATGTTGACATGCTCCAAATTCTGGCTATGGTGCCCTTGCTGCTCTTTCTGGGGGCTCTTTTAAGAGCTTATGTTTCAAACGCTTGTCTTTATAGTCTTTTTCAATTCAAACAAGGCAACTTCTGGTTTTACACGCTCTGCTCCATGTGCTCCAAGGGGTCCCAGGCCACCCTGGAGCTGCCAGGTATTTGTGGAAGCTTGCAATGTCCTTCTTCTTCCCATCCCACTGACTCCTTGCTCTGAGAGAGGAAAATGGGACATCTCGGGACAACAGGAGGCTTTTCCCCAAACCTGACTCTGCTCTGTGTCCCTGGTGACCCCTGTGGAGCTGGGTTCTCCTCCGTGCCAGAGACCTCTTGCTAGGAGGGGACAGCATCCTCGGGGCAGCATTCACCCACTGGCTCGTAGCCCCTGTTAGAGGCACGTGCACCACGAGAGAGCAGTGATAGCTCTCGGGGGAAGAGTGGGTAAACGCTGTCTCTGTAATAAAGTGGTTGTTTTAATAACATAACTACAGGCAGCCTGGGGTGGTTTTGCTTGTTTGTTTTCCTTATAGAAGTTGAAATTTATTTCAACTTCAGGATGTTAATTTTCCCCACCCTGCGGCATTTATAGCTAAATGCAAGAGGGGAAGGATAAATTTGAACCTGAGACTCTGGCTTGAATCATAGAATTGTAGAACAGGACCTTCAAGATCATCCAGTTCCAACCCCCCTGCCCTGGGCAGGGACGCCTCCCACCAGACCAGGTTGCTCCAAGCCCCATCCAGCCTGGCCTTGAACCCCTCCAGGGATGGGGCAGCCACAGCTTCTCTGGGCAACCTCTTCCAGTGTCTCACCACCCTCACAGCAAAGAATTTCTTTCTGGTATCTCATCTAAATCTCCCCTCTTCCAATTTAAAACCATGTCCCCTTGTCCTACTGCTCCACTCTGATCAAGAGTCCCTCTCCATCTCTCCTGTAGTCCATTCAGGTACTGGAAAGCCAATATAAGGTCTCCCCGGAGCCTTCTCTTCTCCAGGCTGAACAAGCCCAACTCTCTCAGCCTGTCCTCACAGCAGAGGTGCTCCAGCCCTCTGAGCATCTTTGTGGGCCTGCTCTGGACCTGTTCCAACAGCTCCATGTCTTCCTGTGCTGAGGACTCCAGAGCTGGACACAGTGCTCCAGGTGGGATCTCACCAGAGCAGAGGGGCAGAATCACCTCCCTGGACCTGCTGGTCACGCTTCTCTTGATGCAGCCCAGGATGCAGTTGGCTTTCTGGGCTGCCAGTGCACATTGCTGGCTCATGTTGAGCTTCTCATCCACGAGCACCCCCAAGTCCTTCTCCTCAGGGCTGCTCTCCAGCCATTCTCTGCCCAACCTGTATTTGTGCTTGGGATTGCCAAGCCTTGATGAGGTTCAGGCCTGCTAGTGAGCCACAAAACCTGGGTGTTTGGTCCATGTGGGACACCAACATAGCTCTCATACCCTAATGGGTATTTCTGAGGCCTATTTGATCTTAAACACCTCCTCCCTCCAGCCTCTTCCTCCTCTTTCCAGTCCCCTACATTCGTCCAGACACCTGACTATTCTCCTATCCTCATGCAGAGCTGTGGTAAAAGCAGTGAGAGACATGTGAGAGCCAAAGCTACCTTAGATATTTCTATCTGGCATAATCAAAGAGCGTGTTGAAGGCAAGCTACATCCCCTTAGGGCAAGGGATCCTCTTCCTGCTGAAATTTGAGGTAGACATTAGATCAGCCCAAAAGCAGCACAGACCTGTAAAGACTGCAGCTCAGCAGGTTCCTGGGTCTACATCAAGCGGTTTAAGATGCTCTGCAACAGCTACGAAGAGCCAGGTCCCAGGGTTAGCGCAGTAGATTCACAAGAATTTTTAACACCACAGGAAACCAACGTGGTCACAGGCTGCTTCATGGCTCTGATGTGTCTCTCTGCTCTGTAAATAAAGCCCAACTCATTTGCAGCCTACGGAACAAAACCAACAGGAGAACCAAGGCTTTTTCTTTTTTAACGGCGGTGTGCTGAGCCTGGGTAGGATAGAATTAAATTTCTTCGGGGCAGCTTTTGTGGTGCTCTATTTTAAAGTTTTGTCCAAAACAATGCTGATAACACATTTGTCCAGCTGTTGCTGAGCAGTGTTTGCGCAGCACTGGGACCTTCTCTGTCACTCTGCCCCCGAGTCAATAGGTTCGGGGTGTGCAAGAGGTTGGGAGGGGACACGCCTGGACAGATGATCCAAACTGACCAAAGAGATAGTCCATGCACAGTGGTAAAAAGGGAGAGAAGGGGAATTTACAGGTCTCAGGAGCTGGCTGGGCATCCTTCTGCCCATGGGAGGTGAGGAGTGACTGCCCTTGCATCGCTTCTTTTCCTTGCCTTCTCTCTTCTTCTCCTTCTCTTATGAACAATAGCTTTTTTCTTTTTTTTTTTTTTATCTTGAGCTCCAAGTTTTCTTGCTTTTACTCTTCCTGTCTCACTGGGGACGGGGGGGAGCGAGCGAGAGGCTGTGTGGTGCCTCGCTGTTAACCCACAACAGGAGGCCACTCTATAAAAAAGGGGTGCATCTGTCTGTTTTTAGCAGGGAGGAGGGTTACACCGAGGGAGGATTCTATATCTGTGCTGATTTGGGTAAAACAATGAGAGACTAAACCATGCAACATCAATTTTTATAAGGTCTTATTTAGCTAACTTACCTAATGTGGAAGAATGGCAAAGAAGAAAATTCTGCTGTTTCAGGTGCCTTTCTGGGGGCACGGTGTTACCTGACACAATGTCCTTTTGGTGTCCTCTTCTGCAGGGAGCGTGACACGCTGGCTCACATGACTACACCCAAAGAAATGCTCTCCAACGTGGTGCAAGCTCTGCGATACCTGGACACCCGTCTCCCAAATGGCAGCCACGTCATTTTGACAGGCTTGGTAGATGGCCGCTTCCTCTGGGATCACCTGCATGACAGATACCATCCTCTAGGTAAATATGAGACATTGTGGGGTCCTTCCAGTTATCTGCCTGCTCATCTGACCTTCTCTCCCTGAATAATGGATGAGTCTAATGACAATTTCAAGCAAACATGACAGAGTGAAGGAGAGCTGAGGAATATGAGGCAGATATTACAGAATCACAGAATGCTATGGGGTTGGAAGGGACCTCTGGAGATCATCTAGCCCAACCCCCTGCCAAAGCAGGTCTACCCAGAGCAGGTTGCACAGGAACATGTCCAGGTGGGGTTTGAATGTCTCCAGAGATGGAGACTCCACCACCTCCCTGGGCAGCCTCTTCCAGGGCTCTGCCACCCTCAAAGTGAAGAAGTTCCTCCTCATGTTTAGATGGCTCATATTGGCTGTGCAGTACAAGTAGGAGAGCCAGGTTACCATCCCCTGTGCAGGACAGGGCAGCTAGAGGGCAGACCCCTAACCTGGCTGGTCCTCCCCAAAGTCGGAGCCCCTCAGCTTCAAATCAGGCTCAATACATGCTGTGACCTGGAAACAAACCATTCTGCCTCAGCCTTGGCCCAAAATTGTGGCTGGCCTGCCTGCATTTCATCCTGGCTCTTTTTACGGTGGAGCCAGACATTTGGTGAACATCTGACTGATGTTCACCACTCACTGACTAGTGGATGTCTTGGCAAAACTGTATGTGGGCCAGGACAGAGGATTAAGTCAGGGGGTTGTGAAAGCCTGGTTAGGTAATTAGAGAAATAAATGTTTCACAAGCACTGGGTGCCTGCCACCTCCTACCCTACCTACAGGTGTGATGGAGGAAACCTCACACCATGTGCAGGCACGTTTTGGGGCATTGCCTCAGAGTGCAGTTGCCGTAAGGTGCTTTGGGACAGTGTTTTCAGAGATTTGGAGGCTGCCTTTGGGAACCTGTTATCTCAGAGCGTGCATGAAACCATACCTCTGACACAGGACTTCATCTGGTGCCAAACAGCAAGGAGGAAGGTCATCACAGCGGGCTGCATTCATATTCAATGGCATATGACATCCATCCTTGGTTTGGCTGACAGCTTTGCCTCTGGAGTCAGTGTGGAAATACTGCAACCACATCCTGGGCTGCAGAAGTGTGAGCAGCAGGTCCAGGGAGGTGATCCTGCCCCTCTGCTCTGGTGAGATCCCACCTGGAGCACTGTGTCCAGCTCTGGAGTCCTCAACACAGGAAGGACATGGACCTGTTGGAACGGGTCCAGTTGAGGACCACGAAGATGATCAGAGGGCTGGAGCACCTCTGCTGTGAGGACAGGCTGAGAGAGTTGGGGTTGTTCAGCCTGGAGAAGAGAAGGCTCTGGGGAGACCTTGTAACGGCCTTCCAGTACCTGAAGGGGCTACAGGAGAGCTGGGGAGGGACTCTTGGTCAGGGAGTGGAGCCATAGGATGAGGGGTAATGGTTTTAAACTGAAAGAGGGGAGATTTAGATGAGATACCAGAAAGAAATTCTTTGCTGTGAGGGTGGTGAGACACTGGAAGAGGTTGCCCAGAGAAGCTGTGGCTGCCCCATCCCTGGAGGGGTTCAAGGCCAGGCTGGATGGGGCTTGGAGCAACCTGGTCTGGTGGGAGGTGTCCCTGCCCAGGGCAGGGGGTTGGAACTGGATGATCTTGAAGTTCCCTTCCAACTCTAACCATTCTATGATTCTATGATTTCTTTGGGGATGTGGGAAGTTGTGGGGTGGGAAAGCTTGGAAGTTGCTTGCAGAGCCCGTTCTCCACAAGTTCACACCACCCCACAGTGGATAAAGAATGTGAAATACTTTATGCAGGTAGCAAAGAAAGTTTTTATGGAAACGGCTGAAGTCAGTCCCTTGTTCTCCAGCCAAGAGTGTGTACAAGGAACCATTGTGGACATTCTGCTGCCAAATTTTAGACTGAAAACATGTTCCCAAATATTTGGGTAAAGAGAGCGAGAGAAGCTAAATCACGTAATTCAAGCAGTAGATTACATCTTCAGATGATTTTGGCAACTGCTGCCTACTAGAGCTTTCAGCAGACTCTGTGCTGTGCTTTCCCCAAGGTTCTCCAATCTTTTCTAGTGGCCCCACAGCTTCTGTGTTATCTACTACGAGTTATTTTAGCCCTTAAAATAATATCCCTTGCCTCTTCTCAGGAAGGCTGAGGTCTCCAGTTCTATTCCTGGTAGCGTGTTCCCTTTTTCTCTAATAAGCACTATACTACTACCAATGAAAACAGAAAAAAAAGAAAAATGAAAGGAAAATCTTGTCCCTTCCAGGGCAGGAGCAGCCTGTGATAATTACTTTTTAGTCACATAAACACATTTCTTTCCTTGAGTGTGTGTTTACCACAAGCACGGTTCCTCTACTGGATTATCAGAGGCAACACGTGGCATTTTTTTGGCACAAGCCAAAATCGGGAGTGATGAGCTATAGGACCAGTTGGAAATTTTTCAGGGGGGGGCTGATTTGTTTTGGAGGGACCCAATTAATCCTAAAGCGACACATTTTGCAGCAGGGGATCACTTCTGGCAGATCCTCCTGTGGGTTGTGAGCAGGTTTCCCCACTTGGCTGATGGTCAGGTGTGACCAGATGTTGGTCTGGCTTTGTGCCGAATCCCTGGGCCCCCTGACAGCGCATCCCAGGGCCTGATCTTCCCAGGTTACATGGATCTGGGACATTGGGATGGTTTGAGGAACCCATAACAATTTATTGTCGTTTAGGCAATTATTCTATCACCCAGTGACCCCTCCCCATCCAGAAAGGGGAACTGGGGAAAGCAAAGAAACCTGAGGGTTGAAATATAAATAGATTTAATAGGGTAAGACTAAATAATTAACATTATTAATGCTAAAAACCCAATATTGATCCTGATACCAATAAAAAATATAAAAGGATTATACTCAGCCCATTCTATCAGCAGGAAGCTCTGCTCTCCCAGCAGGGACAGCAAATGTGGGACACTGTGAGCGCTGCGCCTTCAGGAGGAAGGGAAGGGCTCAGGGGTCCAGCACCGGGGCAAGGAGTTCTCGGGATGGCAGCCACCAAGGGAGAGAGAGCACCATGCAGCAAACTTTCTCCTTTATATTCAATATGATGTTCATGGTATGAAATAATCCTGTTGGCAGCTTGGGTCAAGTGCCCAGGTCTCGCTCCTCCTCATCCACGCACCTGGCAAGGCTCAGAAACACTGAGACCTTGAATCCCACATACCAAAGCTGGCTATAAAGCAAATATTTTCAGGAATTCAGACACTAGAGTCTTCTGAAAGTGCAGTTTTCCCCCAGCATTAGAAGAGAAATTAGTCCTGTGTCACTCAAACCAGGAGAGCTACCCCAGTATCCAGGAGTGACACTAGATCTTTGAGCTCCTCGGGGAACTGATCCTGCTGCTGAGTGATGGGCAGCCCTGGGATGGGCAGGAATTGCATCCATATCCCAGAGCTGCTGCAAAGCAACCTGAGGAGCCCGTTTCACTTGGGAGAGATTACATTTTGCAGTTTCTGAGGGAGGCAGCAACAACAAAAATTGCTTATTTCACTGCCGAAAACATAACGAAACCTGCCGGGATGATCAGTGCGCTACAAACTCAGAGAACAGAGTGGCCATTTCATTTCCAACTTGGTTATAGCTACCGAAGAAGCAAAAAAGTCAAGAAAATGGGCAATTTTCTCAGCAAGCTGGGCTATTGCATAGCACAGAGAATTTTTAAGGCACGTCAGCTGAGTGTTTGACTCGGCGCTTGAATTTGCTCACCCCCACGAGCAATACCCACTTCCCTCTGTGACAGCAAAATTGGTCCTGGGAGTAAACCCAGGCACCTTCAATCTTCCCTTCAGCTTTGGGATCCCTGCGTGTGTTTGGTGGGTGAGAGACACGTTAATGGATGAAATATTAGTCATGCACTTGGGACGTCGGTGCCGGCTGCGATGACTAACCCCGCGTGCGAGACACATCACCCGTGAAAGGCTGGAGAGGATTAAAAGCAGCTCTGCCTGCTGTGGGGACACGGGCAGGACGCATGGGTGCCACCTCTGATGCACCCCAGCTTTGGTGGTGGGAGGATAACCTGGGGGTGGGTTGGGGGTCCTGGGGTCCCTCTCCCCACCGAGGGGTCTAATGAACGGGAATTTCACTGAATTTTACTGAATTTTTAGAGTTGGAAGGGACCATAGAGATCATCTAGTCCAACTCCCCTGCTAAAGCAGGATTGCCTAGAGCTTGTCAGAGCATGTTACTCAGGAGCATCCAGGGGGGTCTCCAAAGAAAGAGACTCCACACCCTCCCTGGGCAGCCTGTTCCAGGGCTCTGTCACCCTCACTGGGAAGAAGTTTTTTCTCATATTTGAGTGGAACCTCTTCTGTTCCAACTTGTGCCCGTTGCCCCTCGTCCTCTCA